CGAAAATTGCGGTCCATGAAATTAGGGAGCGTGGAATTACGAAGCGTGCAATTATAACGCTTGGATATAGAACACATTAGGTGTACCACGTATGGAATTATGGTACGTGAAATTAGACCGTGCAGAATTATAGCAAATTAGGTGTACGGTGCGTAGAAATACGGTACGTGAGAATGCGGCCCGTGAAATTACGGCGCGTGGAATTACGACGGGTAGAATTATGCTGCGTTAGGTATATAATGCATGGAATTAAGGCGTGTAGGAGTTCGGCGCGTAGAATTACGATGTGTAGAATTATGACAAATTAGGTGTATGATGTATGGAATTACAGTGTGTAGAATACGACCCGCGAAATTACGGCGCGAGGAATTATGAGGGGTTGAATTATGACATGTTAGTGCATGTAATTACAGTCCGTAAGAACATGGCCCTTGAAATAACAACGCACGGAATTAAGGCGTACAAAAGTCCAGTATGTGAAATTATGGCGCGTGGATTTACGGCGCGTTAGCTGTACGACGCATGGAAATAAAGCGTGCAGGAGCTCAGTGCGGGAGATTATGATGCGTTAGATGAACAACAGATAAAATTAAGCTGTGTAGGAGTTCAGTGCGTGAAATTATGGCGCGTGGAATTACGACGCGTGGATTTACCGCGCGTTAGGTGTACATTATGGCGCGTGGATTTACGGCGCGTTAGCTGTACGACGCATGGAAATAAAGCGTGCAGGAGCTCAGTGCGGGAGATTATGATGCGTTAGATGAACAACAGATAAAATTAAGCTGTGTAGGAGTTCAGTGCGTGAAATTATGGCGCGTGGAATTACGACGCGTGGATTTACCGCGCATTAGGTGTACAATGCATGGAAATAAAGCGTGCCGGAGGTCAGTGCGTGAAATTACGACGCGTTAGATGAACGACGGATGAAATTACGCCACGCAGGAGTTCAGTGCGTGAAATTATGGCGCGTGGAATTAAGACGCGTGGATTTACTGCGCGTTAGGTGTACAATGCATGGAAATAAGGTGTGCAGGAGCTCAGTGCGTGAAACTACGACGCGTAAGACGAACGACGGATGAAATTACGCCGCGCAGGAGCTCAATGCGTGAAATTATGGCGCGTGGAATTAAGACGCGTGGATTTACTGCGCGTTAGGTGTACAATGCATGGAAATAAGGTGTGCAGGAGCTCAGTGCGTGAAACTACAACGCGTTAAATGAACGACGGATGAAATTAAGCCGCGCAGGAGTTCAGTGCGTGAAATTACGGCGCGTGGAATTAAGACGCGTAGATTTACGACGCGTGAACTTACAACTTACACCAATTAACCAAACTCCAGACCACTATTAGCATTCTAAACGCTATTCCCAAACGATGAATATGCATATCACAGTTCAATGACGAACGTCGGAAGACCGACACAACCGTCATGATCTATTTGATACCTTGAAGATGCGCATCGACCAGATCTAAATGTCACGAGATTCACACAGACGTTACGCGCTGAAAGGATTATATCATTGCCTGGTCGGACGATGCTACCGCATAAGTAGACGAATAAAAAACAGGCAGAAGTATGCGCACGGTTGGTAATCGCGTTCGATTTAACATTCTTAACGATTGGATCTCGAAGGGGGCTAAATTGCCCAGGGAAATTGACTTGTGAAACATAATGTCTTAACGAGGACCCATTTCGTGGCCTTCTTATATAAAATTCTTAACGACTTCGACTACTTATTTGGATCGTGTGACTCGATGGAAAATAAAGAAATGATGTGCTATTTGAGTCGATATTAAATCATTATAACCTAACCTTGACTCGACACAACTCAAACTAAAATTATCACAGTTTCACTGAATATTTTAAGAATCTTATTCATAAAAAGCACCATGTCAAAAATAAAAAAATTTGACAAAAACTGTTATTGATTTGGTCATTTTTGATCTATATTTAACCATGACACAATATGATTAACTCAAACTACATATCACTGATAATTTCACTGAATTTTTGAACAATCCCATTCACAACAGGAACCTAGCTAAAAATAAAGAAATTTGACAAATTCTATTAATACATAACTGAACTTTGACCTAAGTTTGACCTCACCGAAACATAAATTATGAAAGCTCCTGTACAAAGTGTTCACACCTATGAATGGGTGTACCTATGCAGAAGGCCTCGATCACGAATATTAAATTCGCAAGATCGACAGGATCTTGTGACGATTGTGATTGGATGGCCCGGTGTATATACCGGATGACCTCGGCCTACAACTGGCCACACTCGATCGATACTGTACCTCGGACATTCTATTTTATCGATAATCATTTTTCTGTCACCCGATTGAAATCAATGCTCTTGACGGAGATCCGGTGACAAGTCTCTGTGGGTGCGTCGAACGATGTTTTCTTGCTTTCTGTCTGGATCCGGCTTCCATTTTAATCTTATCGGGCTTTTAACAAGTTTTATTATACCTAACAAAATGGTGACGTAGATTCACTTAATTTATCCGTTATGAAAGCGGAATTTCTGCGTTTTTTATTTCTTGAAATTTCTGGCTTTGGGATTTTAGAGTTCTCGGTTTTTAGGAATTTGGAATTTTTGGAGTTGCAGGATTTTTGGACAGTTTGGAATTTGGAGGACTTTGAAATATTAGAATATTGGAATTGCGGGATAGTGGAATTTTGGAATTGTCGAGTTAGGAAGTTGTGCAATTCCGGAATTGTGAATTTATCGAATTTTGGAATTGTTAAATTGTGGAATTTTAGAATTACCGAATTTTGGAATTGTGGAACTTAGAAATTGCGGAAAATAGAATAGCGAGATTGTGGAATTGACGAATTTCGGAATTGCGGAAATGCTGAAATTTGACAAATTCTATTAATACATAACTGAACTTTGACCTAAGTTTGACCTCACCGAAACATAAATTATGAAAGCTCCTGTACAAAGTGTTCACACCTATGAATGGGTGTACCTATGCAGAAGGCCTCGATCACGAATATTAAATTCGCAAGATCGACAGGATCTTGTGACGATTGTGATTGGATGGCCCGGTGTATATACCGGATGACCTCGGCCTACAACTGGCCACACTCGATCGATACTGTACCTCGGACATTCTATTTTATCGATAATCATTTTTCTGTCACCCGATTGAAATCAATGCTCTTGACGGAGATCCGGTGACAAGTCTCTGTGGGTGCGTCGAACGATGTTTTCTTGCTTTCTGTCTGGATCCGGCTTCCATTTTAATCTTATCGGGCTTTTAACAAGTTTTATTATACCTAACAAAATGGTGACGTAGATTCACTTAATTTATCCGTTATGAAAGCGGAATTTCTGCGTTTTTTATTTCTTGAAATTTCTGGCTTTGGGATTTTAGAGTTCTCGGTTTTTAGGAATTTGGAATTTTTGGAGTTGCAGGATTTTTGGACAGTTTGGAATTTGGAGGACTTTGAAATATTAGAATATTGGAATTGCGGGATAGTGGAATTTTGGAATTGTCGAGTTAGGAAGTTGTGCAATTCCGGAATTGTGAATTTATCGAATTTTGGAATTGTTAAATTGTGGAATTTTAGAATTACCGAATTTTGGAATTGTGGAACTTAGAAATTGCGGAAAATAGAATAGCGAGATTGTGGAATTGACGAATTTCGGAATTGCGGAAATGCTGAATTTTGGAATTGCGGGAACGCGGAATTTCAGAATTGTGGAATTTCGAAATTGTGAAGTTTTGGAATTGTGGAGTTTTGGAATTGCGGAATTTTGGAATTGCGGAATTTTTGAAGTTTGAAAGTGTGTAGTTTTGGAATTGTGGAATTTCAGAATTTTGGAATTGCGGGAACGCGGAATTTCAGAATTGTGGAATTTCGAAATTGTGAAGTTTTGGAATTGTGGAGTTTTGGAATTGCGGAATTTTTGAAGTTTGAAAGTGTGTAGTTTTGGAATTGTGGAATTTCAGAATTTTGGAATTGCGGGAACGCGGAATTTCAGAATTGTGGAATTTCGAAATTGTGAAGTTTTGGAATTGTGGAGTTTTGGAATTGCGGAATTTTTGAAGTTTGAAAGTGTGTAGTTTTGGAATTGTGGAATTTCAGAATTTTGGAATTGCGGGAACGCGGAATTTCAGAATTGTGGAATTTCGAAATTGTGAAGTTTTGGAATTGTGGAGTTTTGGAATTGCGGAATTTTTGAAGTTTGAAAGTGTGTAGTTTTGGAATTGTGGAATTTCAGAATTTTGGAATTGCGGGATTGCGGAATTGTGAAAATTTTGAATTTTGGAATTGTGGAGTTTTGGAATTGCGGAATTTCAGATTTTTGGAAGCGTGGAATTGCGGAATTTCAGAATTTTGGAATCGTGGAATTGCGGAATTTCAGAATTTTGGAATTGTGGAATTTCGGATTTGTGAAATTTCCAAATTGTAAAATTTTGAAATTTGGGAATTGCGGAATTTTCAAATAATAAAATTTTAGAATTTGGGAATTGCGGAATTTTTAAATCTTGGAATTGTGGAGTTGTGGAATTGCAGTATTTTAAAATTGTGGAATTTCGGAATTGTGAAATTTCAGAATTGTAGAATATTGGAATTTTGGAATTTCAGAATTTTGAAATTTCAGAACGTCAAGGACATCAATTTACTAAAAATTTGAAGGTTCAAAGATCCCAGAAAGTTTGTGAAACCTAAGTTCAGAAATTTCCTTACCAAATGAAATTTATATTACAACGATTAAGAAATCTATGGAATATTCTGGTACAGCAATCTGGTTGCGTGTCGATAGCAGTTGATAATTATATCTGTAACCGGTGGTACAGGGTCCGCCGGTAAAAGTGTCCCGTAACCGCATAAATTAGACAAGTAAATTATTCTCGCAACGACCGTACTTCCCTCTCGTTCATTTTCCATCGACGGAAAAATTATTCACTTAGCGCTTTTACTTATGGAAATAAAATAACCGGTGATCGAAAGTGAAAAAAGTTATTGTTTTGTTGCAGTTTTCTTGTTGATACTCAACCTCCAGCATGGCGTCGTGTTATGCAGCGCGGGGGAACCTGGCGTAAGTATTAAAATTACTATAAAATTACTTTGAAGAAATATTGTATGTTTAAATAAATTTGATGTAATTATTTGTGAAATTACATGATGAACTATATGTATTTATATATCACTCTTCTGGTATTAATAAGATAATGATCAACCCCTTGTATTAATTTGTCAGATACGTCAGTCATAACTGGCCATACCTTTCAATATTTTAAAACAGAGAAAACTATTGTCAGTAAAAATTATAATTCTAACAAATTATGTCACAACAAAATATAATTATGTTGTAGAATTATAATTGCACCTAACTTCAAGATAAAATATTTTATATATTTTTAAAAATATTAAAAATTTGAGTAAAGTCAACATCTGATGGGTGCGTCACACGTGAACTCTGAATGCGTCACAAGTCAAAATACAAGGGGGTTAATCGAATTAATTATCAAAGTAGTAGTAACATATTCGAGGTGCTGTTAATTATGTGACACATTATTTTTCAAGTATTTGGACTTCGACAACCTTCCGGAAACGAACTTTTCGTGTCAGGGGAAGGTGATCGGTGGCTACTACGCGGACGTTGAGGCTGGCTGCCAAATGTTCCACGTTTGCACCATTGGACAGAAAGGTAATTCAGCCATATCGTCACATTCTCACAATTTCCTAATAATCTTTAAAATCTTGCAAACATTAAAGAAAAACTTTTTTTAATTTCACGATTTTGCAAAAGGTAGTTTCGCTATTTTGTTGTAGTTGTTAGTCATTCGATGGATCAATTCCCGATCTAACTCTCGTGGCATCGTAACAATTAGAGGCGATAATTAAACTGGTGTCGGATAGAACAAGCATCTTGACTCGACAAATCGATTGATCGAACGATCGAGAGGCCCGCTCGGGGGCCCGGCAAGCTGATCGAAGTTTTGTAATCGATCGAGAGATCGCTCGAGGAAGAGAATGTCACGGTCGTCGAGGAACGTTTACTGACCTAAGTCGGGAACGTCTCCTCACGAGAGATCGATCGACGTGCCTTTGTTCTTTGATTAACCTTTAACCCTTCAATTTTCGAATATAATTGTGCATTCTTAGAAAATACTTTTCGTCAAATTAATACCTCATCGAATCGAAAACGTTTTGATATATTTCCAAAATGAAAATTTATATATATAATAAAATGTAGAGGTATTTGAAGGTTAATTAAGAGAAGAAGAAGCCATTAATCTAGTGTAGATCAAGCGTAGAAATTGAGTCTATGTAGAAAATCATTAAACGTGAACATTTAATGAGACATCATGATATGATGACGCAGAAGAGCATCCCCGAATAATGATCCTGTCCTTCACCATGAGACTTGGTTTCAGACGAGATTATGGACATAAAGTTCCTTTGTCTGAATGGAACTGTCTTCGATCAGGAAACCAGGGTCTGCGAGAGGGTGGACGAGGTTGACTGCAGCAAGAGCGAACGATTCTACAACTTGAACCTGGAACTGTATGGCAATAACGCAGTGACACTCAGGTAAACAACTGACTTTATGTTGTGTAGAATGTACGGATGTGCAGACGCAGGTATATTAAAGGTTAGGGATGTGGGACGTAGGGAGGTAGAGATGTGGAGGACGTAGGAATGTGGGGATGTAGGGATGTAGTGGATGTAGGGATGTGGAGGATGTAGAGATGTGGGAGATGTAGAGATGTGGGGATACAAGAATGTGGGACGTAGGGATGTGAGGACACAAGGATATGGGGACGTAGGGATGCGAGGATACAAGGATGTGGGAGATGTAGGGATGTGGGGATACAAGGATGTGGGGACGCAGGGATGTGGAGACGTAGGGATGTGGGGATACAAGGATGTGGGGACGTAGGGATGTGGGGACCTAGTAATGTGAGGGACCTAGTGATGTGAGGGACCTAGAGATATGGGAGACGTAGGGATGTGGGGACATAGGGATGTGGGGATACAAGGATGTGGGGACGTAGGGATGTGGGGACGTAGGGATGTGGGGACGTAGGGATGTGGGGACCTAGTGATGTGAGGGACCTAGTGATGCAAGGAACCTAGTGATGCAAGGGACCTAAAGATGTGGGGACGTAGCAATGTGGGGACATAGGGATGTGGGGACCTAGTAATGTGAGGGACCTAGTGATGTGAGGAACCTAATGATGTAAGAGAGCTAGAGATCTGGGAGACGTAGGGATATGGGGACGTAGTTATGTGGAAACGTAGAGACATAGTAATCCAAAGGTAGATGGACGTGGAGACATAGGTATAGTGAGACTTAGAAACATGAGGACGTATGGTCCCTATCATTGCAAGGATAGAGGAATGTGGATACATAGGTATAGTCACGTAGCTTAGACTTACAATAGTGATATGCAGACGTAGAATGATATAGGGATGTGGACATGAAGACATATTGAGACTTCAACTCATGAGAATGTACAGATAGTGAGAGTGATATATGGCTATAGAAATAAATGCATCTTGACATATTGTGACTTATTGTTAGAGATAAGAGACGTAACGCTACAGTAACATATTGCTATCCAGACTAAAGCAAATTGTGATCTAAGCACATGTGGTCTAGGTACATAAGGGAACAAGATCATAGCAAAGTTTAGAAATGAATTCATAAAATGTAAAACAGGTATTAAAATACGTTCAGCTTTATAACGTTAAAAATTGCTGATATAAAGTCAAGTAAAGTGTCCGTCCTTCAAAGGTTAAGCTCACGCTCGTAAGGCAAACTTGATTCGCAATATTGGCGTAAACTTTCACTTAATATTAAGGAAACACATGCAATCGACGTGATCGATCAAAAACCGGCGACACACGCAATCACGCCCCACTTGATTCTATATCAGTCACGAAAGTAGAAACTGGTATGCGGATCAATGTAACTTTGGTCCTTACGAAACGCCGGTGAACGTTCAGACAGTGGAAAATAAAAATTTTAGCGACAGGTGAACTGGTTGCAACGGTTATTTTCTCCGGTGCATTGCAATTTCCTGCAGTACTTCCTATTTTAATCGACCGGCTTGGTCAATTGAAACGTAAAAAGGGAAAATAAAAGAGGGACGAAAAGAAATCAGTGTTATAATTAACAATTAAGATGACATAATACATTTAAGATGACATAAGGGGTTACATAACATTTGGGAGACAAATATGTGAAGAAGTTGAAAGTACTTGTCTCAAATTAATAAGCTCTGAGAGGGACTATCATATGATAGAGCAACTAATGATCAATGAGTGTAGATTAGAGATGTTTTCAATTAAACAGCATTTAAATAATCTTACAATAACGTTGCAGCTTGCATGAAAACAGCGAGGACGACATCGACCCCCTGGACCACACAAACGACCATCAACGCACCACCTCCGCCCGACCCACCACAACCACCACAACCAGCACCACAACCTCCAAACCATCCACAACACCTTCCTCCTCGTTCTCGCACTCCACTGGCTATCCTCAACACTTCCAGCCGCAGCCTCCGTTCCCCCAAGTGCACACCAGCCAGTCCAAGTCCCTGTACGACGACAAGAACGGAGGATACCATCACCAGTACATCTTCCACAACGGCGAGAGGAACAACAACCAACAGGCAACCTCCTACCAGTTGTTCAGCAACCAAGGAGTCAGTTCCACTACTGTCCAAACTCCTCAGGTCCATCAAATTCGGTTCAGCTCGACAGCGAGTCCACAGATCATCCACAACGAGCCTTCGACGGTGGCGCCGCTGTTCCACTCCTCTACGATCCAGACGCTTCTGAACAACGGAAACAGCCCCTCGTTGATCAATCCTATTTTCCATAATCATGGGATTGTCAGCACGACGGAGCAGTTTTCTATACATAGTAATAACCCTAGGGATACGTCGGAGTACCGGGAAAACGGGGAGCAGATTAGGCCGCTGGAGGCGGTGCAGTCGACTAATAAAGGAAAGGTGAGAACGCGTTATATCACATGTCCCACATATGTGATATGTGGTACATGATCACGTAGTCTCTCGTTAGATCATAATTGAATACCACGTTATATAAGAATATTCATATCATGTAATTCCTAGGTTTCGAAGCTGACAATATCCCCCGTGCCCACATCGGAACCCCCTCGTCAAAAGACCAGCAGCCAGAGTCCGCAGCAGAGGATCTCAGGAAGCTTCCTCTCCACTCCAGCGACCGACGAGACGACCGTCCGATCCTTCTACCCGACTCCGAGGACCTCGTCGAAGTCCGAGAACAGCGACCAAGTCACCCAGCACATACACGTCCTGCCCCCTGTTCAGATTCCCCAATTGAAGCCCCATCAGATCACTATCAACCTACCACCTCCAGATATTCAGAGGATCGTGCAGAACCCATCGTCCCTGCTGCCATCTCAGTCTCGAGTGATAGTGACGGCTAAAGCTAGCGTTAGCGACGAGTCGGGCCGACCCCTAAACACCACGCAGTTGGTCACCCTGCCGCTCCCGACGATCCCTGCTAGTTATGACGACTATAAGGAAGGAGACGAGTCCTTTGACCCGTTCTACAGAGATGTTCCCAAGATTAGGAACAGCAGGAGAGCTTATGGGGAAGTGAGAGGCAGGACGAGGTGGAGACCCAAGAGGTCGGTTGGTACGAAGAGCTCTATGATGTCCTTCGTTTATGGAGGAGAGACTAACAGGAGACAGGATGTTCAGGATACGGGAGATAAGGGGAAGATCAACGACAGGGTGATCATCGAAGATAACAGCCAGGACTTTAAGTCTATCAAGGAGAGTCTGATGAGGTTCAGAGATATTCTGTTTGGAGAGGAGTTCACGGAGGACACTGTTCGCAATATTTTTGAAGAGAAGAGTAAGAACAGTGTAAAAGTGAATGGTAAGAAGGAGAGTCTGGAGGACTTGGAACCTAGGGCCTCGAAGAACTTTAAGGCTAGGGAGTACGATGACGAGAATGATGAGGAGGAGAGGAAGAGTAAGGCTAAGAGTCCGAATAAAATGTCTGACGCTGAGTACGTAGATTTTGAGGACCATACGGAGTCAGACAAGAATGTGGAATATACAGAAACTGAGCACGAAGCTTCTGATAACGAGGATGGTGAGGTCGTGAATTTGAAGGACGATGAAAGTAAGACCATCAAGGAACCAGAACGAGAGCTCGATATTATTATTCTTGATCCTAATGAGTATCTTAGATTAAAATCTGCGGATGAGAAGAGTACTACCGAAGAAACGACGGAGGTCTCCACAACTGAAGCCACTGAATTGAAGAAAAGCATGAGTGGCAAGGACCCGAAGAAGCCCATAGATCAGGATGACGCACCTGAGCATTCTAAAAAGGAAGATGAGAGGATAGAAGAGGTTAAGAAAGAGAAGCCTAAAAGAAAGAGTTCGAGGATCAGGTCTGGGAAGATCTCTTCAAGGAAGAAGGAGACGAAAAATGAGAAGACTCCTCAGGCACCTCCAAAAACCACTACTGAAAAGGTAGAAATTACTACGTTAGTTGAGAATTCTGAAGCACAGCAGATTGATAAGCATATTTTCAACGAACCCGAGTCTCAGACTTCCAAGGAGGTCGACACGAGGGCTGTGGGTAGCCAGAACAGTCAGAAGAGTCTTCAGGGTGGCAAGGATCAGGACGCAGGCAAGGAGAACCGGAAGGGTGACGCGAACGAGTACGAGACTTTAGAGAGACAGGTTGATGAAGAATCGACTACCTCAACATTGGAGGAACTTGAAGAAGATCAGCCTGAGACAACGACCGAAGACGGTTCTCTAGAAAAGACCGACTACGAAGAGGGGTCCTCCATTGAACACGAAAATGTGGAGGAAGAGTCCACCACGATCTTCGACAGCGAAGATGTTGAAGAAGGCAGTCAGGAAAAGATCAAAAGCTCTCATTACGAGAAGAACGAGAAGTACGTGGACTCCTCGCGAGAAGTGTCTTCGCACAAAAAGGAGAAGAACGAGGACGAAGAGGAAGAGATAGAATCTCAAGAATATTCTACGATGAAGATGGAAGAGATCAATTCTAAGGAGGCGTCCTTCGAATATGACTCCACAGAGTCCTACGACACCCACGAAGTCAACGACGAAGAGTATCCTGAAACGGAGGATACAACCTCTGAAGAAATTCCGAGTTCCAGAGCTGAAGGAGAGGATGAAGAGTGGATGGGCGACCAGGAGGGAAGCACTGAAGGAATTCTGAAGTTTACCGATGAGCTGCCTAAGGAGAAGGAAGAAATACCGGAGAGTAAGAAGTCATCGGATTCGGTTGAGAATGTCGCTCATGATTATGTGGATGATAATTATGAACCTGAAAGCTATAAGGGACGGGATTCTTCTGATACGAATAGTTTGAATGATGAGAAAGTGAAATCTGATGTGGTGGAGAGCAAAGGTGAATCTGAAGAGAAAGATGTGAAGGAGGAGGAGGATGAGAAGGATGAGAAGGATGAAGAGCATGAGAAGGACGAAGAGCATGAGAAGGATGAAGAGCATAAGAAGGCTGAAAAGGATGAAAAGCATGAGAAGGATGAAAAGCATGAAAAAGATGAAAAACATGAGAAGGATGAAAAACATAAGAAGGATGAAAAGCATGAAAAAGATGAAAAACCTGAGAAGGATGAAAAACATAAGAAAGATGAAAAGCACGAAAAGGATGAAAAGCACAAAAAGAATGAAGATGATGACGACACGTCTCACAAGGATGAAAAGGATGAGATCACCACTCAGAAAGAAGAAGAAACAACCGAAGAACTCAAAGAGTCCACCACAGAGGACATAGACCTGCAAACAACCACATCAACAACAAGTACATCTACCACTACTACCACCACTACAACAACTACAACAGTTCGTCCAAAACTATTCAAGCCAATCTCCGCAAGGAAGAGTTACAATTACATACCTCCCACAACAACCCCAAACCCAGTAGTCATCAAACCAAGATTAAGTCTACTGAATCCAAAACCAGCAAAGCCCCCTAAGTCGTACAACGAGCTAGCGCCCAAGCCTGTAATCAGAAAATTCCCCCTGCTGACGCGTAAATCGAGCACCATGGCGACTACGACGATCAAGGAGGACACGACGATAATGCCAGAAGTAACTGAAATACCTACGAGCACGGAAGCCAGCAAGAGCGAGGAGAACGTGTTGGAGAGCAAGCTGGACCCCATAAGTCAACCGGTGAGCGAGGCACCCCAGGCTTTGAAGAATAAGAATGACCAGGACTCTAGTCCTAGTGAGCAGAAGTCTCCTACGAATGTGAAGAAAGAAGATGAGGAAAGCTTCACTCCTTATCCTTTAGCCAAATTGACGACGTTGGCTTCTCTGATCGAGGAGACACTGATGGATACAGAGTCTACGGAGGCTGAGAAGACTACTGCTAAGAGCTTCACTTTCATTGATGTTGAAATTACGACAACTCCGACGTCGGTTTCTTCAACAACGGAGGCTGATCAGACTACTATCGCTAAACCAGTGACGGAGGAGACCACGCCACCTACTACGTCCACATCTACCGCGTCTACGTCCACATCCACATCTACTGCGTCCACATCCACGTTCGCATACACCGAGGTGACCCTTCCTGATATGTCTACAGAGACCACCTCCAAACTCGAAGAGATGGATTCGATAACCGTGAGGCCGACTCGCAAAATGGTGGGCCTAAGGCGACAAGGTGGCTTCAACTGCCTGGAGAAAGAGATGTACCGTTTCTACGGGGACAACAGGGACTGTAGACTGTTTCATTACTGCTCGCCCGGTTTCACCTCGAGGCAGGTTCTCGACTTCCGGTTCGTGTGCGAGGAGGGCACTGCCTTCGACGAGGAGACGCAGAGTTGTAGTCACGACGTTCGTAGCAAACGGTGTCCAGATAGACAATGGTAACCAGGAAGCCTCCTAGGTCCTCGTGTCCCTGGCGACGTTGATTTTGGTAATTCGTGAATCCCAGGACAACGTAGTGTATATTTATGTATATTGTTACTGTAGGATCCGAGGGCCGTTCCTTTCCTCAGCATTGCCATAAACCTTGTACATGAACGATGGATTCACACTTATTAAAATTAACGCGGAGCGTGTAGGTGGGGAAGAATCTTCAGGAACAGGAATCTTTCAGCTGGGGATATTTTTGTCTGACATTGGTGTGACTTAGGGTGTGCTTTCGTAGGACATCTTTGATCTAATGGGTCATTTCGCGCCAAATTTTGGACATCTACGATTTTGCTCTAATCAAAATATGTGAAATTAGGGGGAGGGCTTAAGTCGTCATTTTTGCCGAAGCAACGTATTGAGCAATGCGCAAGATATTGTCGAAAACAGTATTAAAAGTGATATGATCTTCCGTGAAGTCCATCGTGAACGCCATCGAACCTAGGAACCGACATTATCGCTCTTTTACTCTGTGAAAAGAGACAGAAGTCTTCTACAGAAATCAGCTAGGTACCTCCACTTGACTAACGATTATTTTTTACTATAATTGACCTATGCACTTTAGGGACAATCTGCAAACACTGCATTGGTGGAATTAGGGCTTGTTCGCAAATCTCCCAAACTCATAAATATCAAAATATCTAAAATTAGGGTCAGTCCACGGCAAATCATTTTTGGACGTCACCATTTTGCTCTAATCAAAATATGTTGTAGTCCATGTGAAATTAGGGGGGGTTTAAGTCATCATTTTATCAGTTTCGAATTTGTTAACAAGCCTTACAGTTTGCAATTTTAGCCCATATTGCGAAAATAGGCTTCACTTACGAATTTTTTTCTTAGAAACCACTCATCCGATTTAGCTAAATTCTTTTTTATTTTATTCACAAAGGATTGGATTATTTTAAAATATTTTTTTTAATTCCGTCAATTTGTTATGAAATTTCGAAAAATTTTATAAATCCCCGCATTGATAAAAACGCGAAAAAAGAATTTGTTTAAATTTTTCGAAATTTCGTAACAAATTGACGGAATTAAAAAAAATATTTTAAAATAATCCAATCCTTTGTGAATAAAATAAAAAAGAATTTAGCTAAATCGGATGAGTGGTTTCTAAGAAAAAAATTCGTAAGTGAAGCCTATTTTCGCAATATGGGCTAAAATTGCAAACTGTAAGGCTTGTTAACAAATTCGAAACTGATAAAATGATGACTTAAACCCCCCCTAATTTCACATGGACTACAACATATTTTGATTAGAGCAAAATGGTGACGTCCAAAAATGATTTGCCGTGGACTGACCCTAATTTTAGATATTTTGATATTTATGAGTTTGGGAGATTTGCGAACAAGCCCTAATTCCACCAATGCAGTGTTTGCAGATTGTCCCTAAAGTGCATAGGTCAATTATAGTAAAAAATAATCGTTAGTCAAGTGGAGGTACCTAGCTGATTTCTGTAGAAGACTTCTGTCTCTTTTCACAGAGTAAAAGAGCGATAATGTCGGTTCCTAGGTTCGATGGCGTTCACGATGGACTTCACGGAAGATCATATCACTTTTAATACTGTTTTCGACAATATCTTGCGCATTGCTCAATACGTTGCGTACAGAATCTTTTAGTTGGCTCTACGCTGTACAGTAGATGGAAACTTCAGCATCCGTCAACTGTAATTTGTTTCTTTGTATATCAAATTACCAATAGCAATCGTTTCCACCAACTGTACTTTGGGAATGTACACGAAGAGACAGAAATACTCAATCGTCGTTACGACGGTCTTAACACCTTAGCGTTTCGTAACTTGTAATTTTACATTCCTTTTAAAGAAAACGTACCGAAGAAATTACTCCAGTGTCCCTTACTTGGCGGAGAAATTTGGTCCCCGAAATTCCTATCGATATAAATGTATAAATAGATTACCTACACGTACACGTTATATATTTTTGCATGTGAATTTATCCCATAGATAATGTGATAAGGTAATCCGTAGGACGTTATCCTCTGAAACTGCGTGTTCGACGACGATTTCTGTACATACAAATGTGTCCCTACACGCATGTCAACTTTAAGGATCTATACTGTGTTAATAATAATTGTATATTATGTGCAATTCGTCTCACGTCTTAGTAGTAACCCGCTCTAGTTTATTTATTTCCCCGGCGTTTCTATTTTCTTTTTAGCTGGTAAGATACTTCATTTTTTCGTTTAATACAGAAGGAAAGAATTCTTCATTTTGTTCATTGTAAATATCGTAAGTTTGTTAATATAATTTGTAAATCAGCGTTACGTTTTTTTAAGGTTCTACTTATAGCAGCTTAGAGTTTAGATATTAGCTATATTATTATTACCTGAGTTAATAAAGCAGGTCAGAAGTTATTTATTCCATATTTTCCACCATTCTTGGCTAGAATCATAAAATTTTATGGACCATGGCGATTTTTCTTAAATGTGTGAAGAAATCGTTGAAGATCCCTCAAACGGCGAAATCCAGAAACTTTAAACATTCACTATCCTTGTTTACTTCCACAAGAAAGACAAGGACAGCAGCCACAACTTCCTAATTTCGCCGCATGAGGTCTTTCATCCACGTGATCAATAATAATAAACAAAACCACACCTGATCGATAGGTTAGGTTTTTCCAATTTTTTACAGGTTAATCTCGTATTGAGTATATTATTTAATTACTAACATGTTATGACATGGTAAGAGGATATTCCAGAACAATTTTTCAGTATTTTTCCAAAACTATTACCTCTTTGAATTACCTAACCTATACACAAGTGAAACCACGATACATTACAATGTCAAAAAGCCTGAAAATCGGTACACATGATGGTTGTTTTCATTGTGATGAAGCACTTGCTTGTTTCATGTTAAAAACTTTACCACAATACAAAGATGCGGTTATTGTAAGGTAATTATTGTAATATATTGTTTCATAACCTATAACTTTTCGAATAACCATGTGATTAAGCTAATATAATTCATATTTGCTAATATGATTCTAATTTTGAAATATATCCTTGACATTTTGAAGTATCGATAAAAGAATGTCAAATGTATTTGTAGATCACGTGATAAGAGTATTCTGGATACCTGTGATATTGTTATCGATGTTGGTGGTGAATACAATCCTTCTAAGCATCGTTATGATCATCATATGAGGTATGGCTAAACGTTTTTTATGTTACCTATACTTTCATTAAAAATGTCCTTTTATTTTATAAATTAGAGACTTCAAAGAGTCGCTAAGTACAGTGGTAAAGAAACCAGGATACAATTCAGACATAAAGTTGAGCAGTGCAGGCTTAATTTACTGCCATTTTGGTCATGAAATTATTAAGCATCTAATTCCTCAACTAAGCAATAATGATGTTGAAGCAGTTTTTAAACAAATTTATAATACATTCATTAAGGAAATTGATGGTATAGACAATGGAATTCCTATGTTTAAGGAAGAACCAGTGTAAGCAATCAGTAACATGTTCCTCTTTTGCAGTATTATTCATAATAATACTAAATGTTTATGGTTTGTTCATTCTTTTAGCTATGGAATTGTAACGGACTTATCATCTCGTGTACAATTCTTAAATGTTCCATGGAATGATAAAACTAGAACTTCTGATGAGCAGTTTCCAAAAGCAGTGGAATTGACTGGTCAAGAATTTTTGCAACATTTAAATTATGCAGCACATGTGTGGTTACCAGCTAAAATAATTGTACAGGATGCTATTGCAAAACGCTTTGAGGTGACTATAGTTTATAATCCAATTTGTAATTAACATGATATTATTATCAATACATTTGCTTGATGTATGTCTTTACATTTACATTAATTTGAATAGAATGGTACTTTCTGAATAAAACATTGCAATACATGGTCATTAGTTACATACAAATGTATCATAGGTGTTTACGTAATTCAACTTTGTACTTTACATAAAGACATACATATTTAATTAAATAGAAATGGAGAAGTTTCAGCATGAATATACGTTACAGGTTGATCCTAGTGGAGAAATCATAGAATTATCACAGCCTGTACCATGGTCTGAACATCTCTTTGAATTAGAAAAAGAGATGAACGTAGAACCTCTATTAAAGTATATGATTTTTAAAGAAAGCAACTACAGGATACGATGCGTTCCAGTGAAACCTAAAAGTTTTGTTGCAAGGTATTTGTTGAAGTAGTGATTTAACCTTACAATTTATGAGTGCACTGTGTTTATAGGTTATGTTTACAGGTTATTTTTGCCAGAAGCTTGGGCAGGTTTGAGGAACGAAGCGCTGGAAACTGCTTGTGGAGTTCCAGGTGCAGAATTTGTACATACAATACGATTCACTGGTGGACACAACACCAGAGAAGGTGCATTAATGATGGCCCGTAAGGCTCTCGAACTAGGAAAGACTATATGATAATAAACCTAGCAATTTTATCTCTTAGACCAATTTTATTTATCGTGTCAATATGCAATCATGCCCTTTTATTATTTAAAACTGGTACTTAAATTTTGAAATGCTGTACATATTTTGCAATAAAGTATTACATTTTTACTGTGGTCTCTAATCATTAACCCACACATTCCAGATACTTAAAGAGTTTCAAAAATAATTAAGGATGTGGACAAGAGATACTTAGTTACTTATAAATAAAATATTTATTTTAAAAATCGTTTCCAGTAAATGTATACAAATCATCAAGTTATCACAACTTGATCAATCATTTAATCTATTGATCTCAAGTGACATTAATCAAATTTTCTGCGCATTTCTTGCGGCTTGAGCATGTGCTGCGAAATGCGCTGCCTTCGCTTGTGCAACTTCTGGCGTGTCTACCACTCGACCATCAGGACCAATGGGAGCGCCGTATCCGAACCCATAAGCATAGGGTGCCGAATTGTAGGAGAGAGCACCGTACGGGTAGAGGCCGGCGTTTTTGGCTGCCTCCTGCAAAATAATATTCCTTTAGGTGGAATGATAATCTTCAAAGGCTTCATGGATTTCACAGACAATGCTCAGTGTACAATATTTATGATAACAAGGATAATTATACAATAAATCTATAGGAGTATTAGCTGATCAAGAATTCTCTCGGCTAAGTTGTCACATTCTCCGCAATTACCAGAGCGTGAGCTGTGAGATGAGCAGCCTTCGCTTCCGCAACCTCAGGTGTATCAACAACCCGACCATCGGCACCTATGGGTGCGCCCGCCGTAATTGCAGGTGGGTAAACACGGACCAGGGCAGGCACGTGCACGTAACCTAAGGTGTTTCTAGCAGCCTCATAAGCCTGGGTCGCAAGGTGAGCCGCTTTCGCTTGTGCCACCTCTGGCGTGTCCAAAACTCGTCCATCGTAGGCCAGAGGATACCCCAGATGACTGTACGCCACCACCGGCAGGTAAACTGCCTCTGCCAGCGCTAGAGTGCTGAGTGCCGCAAGAATCTGCAATTTTGATCAAACAGAATTTTGCAATATTTGCGATAAGAAAATTGTCCAAGTCTCAGAAATAACTTTAATCCCTGAGTACTTACTAAAGTGTTCATGTTCAAAAGAGCGCTGCTGATTAACCAGTACTCGCCCTAAGGTTGTTGTGTACCAAGTCGAAGCAAGGCTTCTCCTTTTATATATGTGAATCTGGTAGGGAGTCGTCGACCCGTAGGAGGGGACCACACCCTGTAACAAGTGCTACACGTAAAGTGGTGACATTGACATTATGCTTGTCGTTTCTCATCACCGAGTCTCGTCTCTCAAAGGATCCGCCGTCCGACGAGGTCAGGTGCACCGGCGATGGGACCAATCAGGCACTGCGAGGCTCTCCCATCATACGAGAAGAAAAGCCTTGCAACAACTGTTTTCGTTTGATTCTCCTTGAAATCGTACTTTCTTGTCAAAATGAAAAGCAGTTTTCTCTGAAACTGCGTGGAGGAATGCTGCCTCTTGAAAGGGGGGTTTAAGTCGCTTATTAACAGTTCGACTGCATACATTTGTCCGTGTTACCTTGTCTTCATATATTTTCATACCGATTGCTCTATAAAAATTAATTAATTCTTTCAAATATATTATTTTATAAATGTCTTAAACAGTAGACAAATGTAGACAAATTATTTAAACTCAAATTTGTAAACATGTCTGTACATTCGACGAATGTACAAAGTCATTCAAACTATCTCCATGTCTCGTCGTATTTATATCAACATGCTGTATGAATGAATCTCGAATTAAGTGTAATCAGTTAATTTCTCAATTAACAGAGTAGGAGAGCGAATCGACCTCGAGCGTATTTAACGTGGATCGTGGAAAGAAACACACGGACGAAGTGCAATTAAAAACGGAGAACGTTGGTACATCGATCTGGACGAAGGCCGCGTCCTCGGAATAATCAATCGTTTGGTGATTGACTGAAACGAATCCACTTTTTGCTCGGCTTCGAGGAATAAGACAGCTTGTAGCGTATCGAGGATATTTCTCCGGTTGTTTTTCCGAATGGCACGACAAATAATGTTGGAGTACTTATGAAATTTTGTGTACCAAGTTAATATTGTTCTGTGTATTCTAATTCTACTTATTTAATCTAATTTATGTAAGCTACCTGTCTAACCTAACTTATGTAACTACCTATCTAACCTAATTTATGTAACTACCTGCCTAACCTAACTTATGTAACTACCTATCTAACCTAACTTATGTAATGTATCTACCTAACCTAACTATGTAACCTATCTATCTAACCTAATTTATGTAAGCTACATATCTAACCTAACTTATGTAACTACCTATCTAACCTAATTTATGTAACTACCTGCCTAACCTAACTTATGTAACTATCTATCTAACCTAACTTATGTAGTGTATCTACCTAACCTAACTATGTAACCTATCTATCTAACCTAACTTATGTAAGCTACATATCTAACCTAACTTATGTAACCTTCCTATCTAACCTAACATATTTTAGGAAGATTTAATATCAAATTTCTTGAGGAACTGATCTAACATTGTCCAAGGAGAGTCTAACATGAGGAGTCTAAAGGAGATTTATTTAGAACCATCAGTCTATGTACTCTAATTCAACTTACCTTAACTACCTACCTAACCTAACTTACTTTAAGAAGAGTCTAATTAAAAATTACTTGTATAACTACATTACCTAACATTGTCCTAGAAGAGTCTAATATAAGGAATTTAAAGGAGCTTTGACTAGTATCTTCAGTCTATGTACTTTAATTCAAATTACCTAAATTGCCTACCTAACCTAACTTATTTCAGAAAGATTCTAACTTACAATTTCTTGGATACTTTAACTCAGTGAAGACTCAGACTATTAACTCAGTAATAGTTTGAAGTAATTGTCATCTAGAATCAATCAAAAAGATTGAAGCGATCCTCATCTAGAACCCCCCAGAAAGTTTGAGATGATCCTTATATAGAATCCCCCAGAAAGTTTGAGGTGAACTTCATCTGAAACCCACCAAAAAGTTTGAAGTGATCTTCATCTAGAACCCCCCAGAAAGTTTGAGATGATCTCCATCTAAAATCCTCTAGAATCAATCAAAAAGATTGAAGCGATCCTCATCTAGAACCCCCCAGAAAGTTTGAGATGATCCTTATATAGAATCCCCCAGAAAGTTTGAGGTGAACATCTGGAACCCCCCACAAAGTTTGAACTGATCCTCATCTAGAATCCACCTCAGAAGTTTGAAATAATCCATCTAGAATCCCCCAGAAAGTTTGAGATGATCCTCATCTAGAATCCCCCAGAAAGATTGAGGTGAACTTCATCTGAAACCCACCAAAAAGTTTGAAGTGATCCTCATCTAGAACCCCCCAAAAAGTTTGAGATGATCTCCATTTAAAATTCCCTAGAAAGTTTGAGGTGAACTTCATCTGAAACCCACCAAAAAGTTTGAAGTGATCCTCATCTAAAATCCACCTAAAAAGTTTGAAGTAATTCATCTAGAACCTCTCAAAAAGTTTGAGATGATCCTTATATAGAATCCCCCAGAAAGTTTGAGGTGAACATCTGGAACCCCCCACAAAGTTTGAACTGATCCTCATCTAGAATCCACCTCAGAAGTTTGAAATAATCCATCTAGAATCCCCCAGAAAGTTTGAGATGATCCTCATCTAGAATCCCCCAGAAAGATTGAGGTGAATTTCATCTGGAACCCACCAAAAAGTTTGAAGTGATCCTCATCTAGAATCCACCTAAAAAGTTTGAAGTAATCCCTCCAGAATCCCCCAGAAAGTTTGAGATGATCTTCACCTAGAATCCCCCAAAAAAGTTTGAAACGATCCTCATCTAGAACCCCCCCCCAAAAGTTTGATGTGATCCTCAACTAGAACCCCCCAGAAAGTTTGAAGCAATCCTCATCTAGAACTCCCAAAAAATTTTAGGAGACCCAGAACCTTAATTCTTAATCCATAACCTAGCGCAGACTAATGAATCTAAGTTACCTCCTGCCTTAAATAGTACCTAGTCAACCTAATCACCTAGTCATCCTAACCTCCTACCTTTCCTTTCCTCCCTAATCATATTCTTTGAATGCACGATGACGTCTCGTTAAGTCCTGCTTCCTGCTTCCTGATCCAGGATCATTCTCGAACACTATGGGACGATTAGGTGTGTCAGCAAGCCGGTACACGAGGCCAGGGACGGTTATCGACAGCGAATGCCTATCGTTCATCGACATTCACTTGATTGTTTATGGTGTTGTAGAATAGTAGCGGATGTCACTTCTGGCGGGTTGTTTTGACATTTAGAACAGTGGATGCAGGATTTTCCTTTGATGATGAATCAATTATGATGTAATGTTTTGTGACATGTACCTTTAATGATGCAAATTTACTTGTGAAGTTGATCATATCCTAGTTACTGTCCTTGGAATTCTTTATGAAGAAAGTACTGCAGGCTTATGTAACACGTATCATTGAATTACTATATGATAGACTGAATTTATGCTAATTAGATTAGATTTGGTAATTTAATAGGTGGCGATACAACGCGTGCAAATACCACTCGTGGGGATATAACGCGAGGAAATACCACTCGTGGCGATATAACGCGTGGAACTACCACTCGTAGTGATACAACGCGTGGAAATACCACTCGTAGTGATACAACGCGTGGAAATACCACTCGTAGTGATACAACGCGTGGAAATACCACTCGTAGTGATACAACGCGTGGAAATACCACTCGTAGTGATACAACGCGTGGAAATACCACTCGTAGTGATACAACGCGTGGAAATACCACTCGTAGTGATACAACGCGTGGAAATACCACTCGTAGTGATACAACGCGTGGAAATACCACTCGTAGTGATACAACGCGTGGAAATACCACTCGTAGTGATACAACGCGTGGAAATACCACTCGTAGTGATACAACGCGTGGAAATACCACTCGTAGTGATACAACGCGTGGAAATACCACTCGTAGTGATACAACGCGTGGAAATACCACTCGTAGTGATACAACGCGTGGAAATACCACTCGTAGTGATACAACGCGTGGAAATACCACTCGTAGTGATACAACGCGTGGAAATACCACTCGTGGCGACATAACGCGTGGAAATACCATTCGTGGCGATATAATGCGTGGAAATACCACTCGTGGCTATATAACGCGTGGAAATACCACTCGTGGCGATATAACGCGTGGAAATACCACTCATGACGATACAAAGCGTGGAAATACCACTTGTGGCGATATTACGCGTGGAAATACCACTCGTGGCGATATAATACGTGGAAATAAAATTCGTGACGATATCAGAATGAATAAATTATTAGATAACTTTACTACAATATATCTGTAATATGTAATATCGTACGAACGTATCGATCCACTGTCCATGAGCTGTTACAGAGCTATTGATGGAATATAGTAATACCGCGATTAGTATGGTTAATACCTTTATCGGAGGTACAAGACTAATCCACATTAAATGGAGAACACAATGCCATTAATGGAATAATCTCCTGAGAACAGGATTTTAACTTGATCTATATAAATGACGAAATTTGAACTTCTACTATGAAATCGTTCAGAAAAGTGAACACAATGAACCCTAAAAAGTTCTTGTCCTTGTTTGAAGGTGTTAACATTGATAAAGCGTTCAATTCATTATTTAACGCGTTACGTCGCTATTTGATTACTTAATCGAGAATCATTTAAAAATTCCATCGTTATGATTTCTCAAAGTTTTTCATTTTCTGTTTGGCACTCATGCGTGAAAATGGGCGGTCAGAGGGTCTCGGTTTAAATTACTCAATGTTGTTTCCTCATCTATTTAACAGACGATTGCCACCGTTTGCGACAGTTCAATTTTTATACGCGTTTATGGACAAATTTTCTTAAATTCAAAATTTATGTCGGATCGGTTGCTTCAATCTTATGTAAATTAGTAGTCATATAGCGCAGGGGAAATATAATGCAAGAAGAGTATGAAGCAGAGTAAAAGGAAGGCGTGGCGATATATCGTGAGGTAATAAATTGCGTCGAGGTAGAACTTCTGGTGAATATAAGGCGCCAGAATTCGACAGAAAGCGAAAACAATGCGTGGAAATATTACTCATGGCGATATAATGCGTGGGAATACTATTCGTGGCGACATAACGCGCGGAAATACCACTCGTGGTAATATAACGCGTGGAAATACGACTCGTAGCGATTCAACGCGTGGAAATACCACTCGTGGTAATATAACGCGTGGAAATACCACTCGTAGCCATATAACGCGTGGTAATCCAATAGGGGGCGATATAATGCGTGGAAATACCACTCGTGGCGATATAACGCGCGGAAATACCACTCGTGGCGATATAACGCGTGGTAATCTAATAGGGGGCGATATAATGCGTGGAAATACCACTCGTGGCATTATGACGCGTGGTAATCTAATAGGGGGCGATATAATGCGTGGAAATACCACTCGTGGCTATATAACGCGTGGAAATACCACTCGTGGCGATATAACGCGTGGAAATACCACTCGTAGCCATATAACGCGTGGTAATCCAATAGGTGGCGATACAACGTGAAGAAATACCACTCATGGCGAGATAACGCGTGGAAATACCACTCGTGGCGTTACAACGCATGGAAATACTACCCTTGGCAATATAACGCGTGGTAATAAAATGTGTGGCGATACAACCCACTCTAACACAACATATAGCACCACAACACTCATCACATTGATCTAACAAGTATCACAACGTTCAGTGGTGGTAGAACGCCACCATGCGAAAAATCCATATAAAATATGGCAATATAAACAGAGTCTCTTATAACTATATAAACCTTTCCATATTACCCAACCTACATAAGTTATCTATCATCACAACATATCCTCATCACAAAATCATTTATTTATCCATTTTTAGCTAGGTATCCTTATCGCTTCATCAGGTCACTCAAATTGCATGTCATTATTATATCGTAACGAACTTGTCCTAATTAGGTGTTCGGTGCTCATTAGACCTGATTGTTCCTTCAAATGGGTGTCATTGTTCACCAGCCTCTTTCGCAAAGTGTAATTGTTCGAAGGATTATTAAGAACTCGGGCGTAGCGATACGTGATGGAATTCTCTGGAAATTTACATCGAAGATTGAGAACCCACGAATCTATCGTATGCAAAACCAACGAGCAATTTTTATCCAAAGAAAACTCCTCAGTATGAAGTTACTAGAAAGTGACATGTATTATGTAAACCTACTGCTGTTTTATAAGAATTCTCAGAGAAAAATCTAAGTGAAATAATTGTATAACGTTTCTACGTTTAAATGCTTTTTCCATTTCTATTTTTAACTTTTTATTGAAATGTTGATTGCTATTTTTGTTGATTTAGAATGCTATTAGAGGGTGCACAAGTAGAAACTACAAAGTTGCAAACTTTCATTTAGAAACTTTCCTAGTTGGAGTACTTTCATATTTTTTGGAATGAAAATTTTGAAATTTGAAATTTATAAATTTGGTCATTTTATAGTTTAAGAATGTCAAAATGTCACGTATGGAAATTCAAAGACAGCAAGTTTAAATATTTAAAAATTATGAAATTGTATAATTTAAAAATTATAAAATTGTGTATTTAAAAGTTATGAATTTGTATAATTTAAAAATTATAAAATTGTATATTTAAAAATTATGAATTTGTATAATTTAAAAATTATAAAATTGTATATTTAAATATTATGAATTTGTATAATTTAAAAATTATAAAATTGTGTATTTAAATATTACAAAATTGTATAATTTAAAAATTATAAAATTGTATATTAAAAAATTACAAAATTGTACATTTAAAAATTACAAAATTTTATATTTTAAAAATTACAAAATTGTACATTTAAAAATTACAAAATTTTATATTTTAAAAATTACAAAATTGTACATTTAAAAATTACAAAATTTTATATTTTAAAAATTACAAAATTGTACATTTAAAAATTACAAAATTTTATATTTTAAAAATTACAAAATTGTACATTTAAAAATTACAAAATTGTATATTCAAAAATTACAAAATTTTATAATTCAAAAATTACAAAATTGTGCATTTAAAAATTACAAACTTGTATATTTAAAAATTACAAAATTGTACATTTAAAAATTACAAAATTTTAATATTTAAAAATTACAAAATTGTACATTTAAAAATTACAAACTTGTACATTTAAAAATTACAAAACTGTACATTAAAAAATTACAAAATTGTACATTTAAAAATGACAAAATTATATATTCAAAAATTACAAAATTTTATAATTTAAAAATTATAAAATTGCACATCTAAAATTTACAAAACTGCATACTCAAAACTTTTCACTTTTACAAATCTAAAAATTAAAGCGAGAGAAGAAGGAAATATGGAAAGGCAAGAGAGCTAATCCCTGACACCCATCTTCAAGATCAGCGTCGCAACCTTGAAGACACTTCCGGCGGAACCCTCGAACCGAATCGAATCAAAGAAGGACGCTCTGGCGTAAGGAGATGACTTTTTCACGAGTTTCAGCAACGACCGTTTATCGAAATTGACGCAACAGTAACATTTCACCCTGTGGTTTCTTTCAAACAGATACGCCTCTCCCTACCTCTTCTTATTATGTGAAAATCAAGCGGAACGCGCGCTCGCGCGAGCAAATATTTCGCGTACACTCGCGTTAGCTTGTTTACAAGCGCAACAAGTGGGCGCTTGTATTGTTCCACGACTATATAAGGTGTACCTGGGTCTCTACGACCGGCAGAATAGCATCTGATCGTGGATCATGGCAAACATGAGGCTCCTTGTGAGTATCTGTTTTCCTCAAAATTTTCCTCATATCTCTGATGCTAGTCTCAAATTTTGGCATTTTAGTCCGACTAACTTTTAGTTGGACTTCTGTTTTTTGGGGGGAGTTTTGTTCGTTTGGTGGATTTTTGTTTGGGGAATTTTTTGGGGGGAGTTTTGTTATTTATATGTGCTGAGATGTGGTAGAATTTGGGAGGATTTTGTATTTTTCTAGATTTGGGAATTGGAGAGTTTGGGAATTGAAGAGTTCTGGAATTGGAGAGTTAGGAAACTAGAGAATTTGGAAACTGGAGAATTTGGGAATTGGAGAATTTGGGACATGGAGGATTTGGAAGTTGGAGAATTTGGGAATTTGAGAATTTGGGACTTGGAGAATTTGGGACTTGGAGGATTTGGAAATTGGAGAATTTGGGAATTTGAGAATTTGGAACTTAGAGAATTTGGGACTTGGAGGATTTGGAAATTGGAGAATTTGGGAATTTGAGAATTTGGGACTTGGAGGATTTGGAAATTGGAGAATTTGGAAATTGGAGAATTTGGGACTTGGAGAATTGGGGACTTGAAGAATTTGGGACTTGGAGGATTTGGGAAATTGAGAATTTGAAATTGGAGAACTTGGGAACTAGAGAATTTGAGAACTGGAAGATTTGGGAATTTAGGTGTTTGACAGCTTGAAAATATGGAAATTTGTTAATTCAGAAATAGGTGATGAGTTTTGCAAGTTTAGAAATTCAGAATTTTTAAAATTCAAGGAAATCTTAAGTCCTCATTTAGAAAATCTGACTTTGATCACTTGGTAATTGCAAGTTAAAAATTTGTGCTATAAACTCCTCCTAAATCTAAGACCTATAGTCTTCCATTTATTAAAAACGTACTACTAGTCTCTACAATAAAATAACAAATTTACCCCATAATTTACTAACAATCACCATCAAAATTTACTCTCATCAAAATTTATTAATCAAGTCAAGAACTACATCTATAATAATAGAATAATAGAAGTCTCTAATAATAAACTATAATACTTTTTTCAGCTTCCATTTTGTTGTCTCCTCCTCTCAGCATCCGCCATTCCAACGTACGGCCCGTACGCCGGTGCCGGCATATACCACGGACCTCCAGCACCCCTAGCTCAAGATGGAAGAGTAATCGACACGCCGGAAGTGGCTCACGCAAAGGCAGCACACCTCGCAGCGTACGCCGTGGAGGCTGCGAAGGCTTCACCCGTGGGATACGGGGATTATTCCGATGGAAAATACGAGGAGTACATAAGTCCCGTGCAGAACGCGTACCACGGTCCTCCAGCGCCATTGGCTCACGATGGCCGCGTGATCGACACGCCGGAAGTTGCGCACGCTAAGGCTGCGCACTTGGCTGCGCACGCGGACCAACTTTCGAAGATCGTTCAACATTATCCTCAGATCCATTGGTGAATTGGGTCTGAGGCACGATCGAGTTTAGAACCAGTACATTTATCGTGGATATCGTAATTAGAGGTATCTGGAGATGAAGTTTTGGTTCTAGAGTCGAACGTCACTGGTTTTGTCTTCTTTTTGTACTTGAGCTATGATGTACGAGGTTTTATTGTATGATATGGTTTTGGTTTTGTATGGAATTGATTATGATGACCGATTAAAGAGATTGCAATTATTTACTGGAGCTTCTGTTGTTTATTTTGTTACCCTTTTGCGATGTGTGCTTGTGTTGACAAAATTGACAGTGAGAAAATGGTTGCCTCTTTTAATCATGTTATACTTGAGAGTATAACTCTTAAGTCATATATATTCATGTATGAATATGAACATGTGAGGTGACATGAGATATGAACATGCGAGGTATTAACAATAATTGAACTAACATTAAGATACAAAATTGTGAGGTTAGGTTTCAATTTCCTCCCACACGCCTTCGAGTCAGAAAACTGCATGAAAGCACCAATAAAGTGTACGATATAAAAATACAGAATATTAAATAAAAATGGAATATCGAAAAAATTTGAGTCAACTAAAGAAGAAATAAAATTAAAAAATCATCGATTCTTCATAAAAAATATTGCGTCAAAAGTACATAGTGAGAAAATCGAAGATGAAATATGAAAACAAGTGTTAACAAAACTTGAAGCAACGTAACGTTACAAGAAAATTGTGAAGACATGTCAATTTACATAAAAATCATATACATACAATGACATACATTATTGTATGGAAATAGTAAGAAAATTGGAGTAACCAATACGAAAATGTTATGTCACCCGTTGATTAGTTCGCGTAACGCATTCCCGTCCGATCTAGCACGTTCTCAGCCATTCAAATCTCTGTCCTCTCGACCACATCTACCTCGTTATCAAAGCGTTGGCGACAAGCTCGCAGTTCCGTTCAGGTCAACACGCGAACAATGCATGAGTTGGTCTTTGAACCAGGACAACTGTTGCAACAACGTTCGTTATTTAAAAATAAAAAGGAAGCTGTGTGCACCACTTGTATCACCGCGTGACAACACGCGGATGAAGGTGAAAATGGAGTTGAGGTACTTTGAAAATTGTGGTGGCACACAAGGTGGCAGTTTAAATTCAGTAGAAGGCAGTAGAAGTCTAGTGAGGTCTCTAACAAGGTTTTATGGACGGGCATATAATTTTTGATCAACAGTTGTTTATTTGGCGGTGGTAGCAAGTATCGATTGTAGCAAATGATCACCTGCTTCTTTGAATCATTGTATGAACGTATCGGTTAGATCTGTAATTTTCTAGCTTTGATCAAGGTTTATGGTACGACTTCCTAGATTGCTGATATCATTTCAAGTTTAAAATGTGGAATGCTTATGTGGATATGAGAGGTTCTCATTGTGCACTCGTGATATACATTCCTTGGAAGTCTTTAGGACTATGTTGTGATTTAACTGAGGAAATGATGTATTAGAGGATCGCTTGCGAGTGCCTAGGGTACATAGGTACACAAGTGGATACAGAAGTAGATACCTAGTAGGTAAATAAGTAGATACACTTAGGGTACATGAATAGAGTACATAGTAGGGTACTTCCCTAAGATACCTTTCTCTAAGAAAAATACTAATGTAGAGAATGGAGGACTATTCAGCAATTACCACGCATTTTACATTATCACACATTATCCCATATTTTGTGTTCATTACCACGCATTCCATATTTCCTAGCAATCCACATTACCACACATCCCACACTATCACGGTCCACATCATCACTCAGTCTACATATTCTCAGATTTCCCTACAAGTTTATAAGTCTAAGGTAAATATCTTCAAAAAGAAACGATGATAGAATGCTTGGTAATATGAGATATAAACTTCTGAGTAATCTTCTTCAATCACTATTTTTCTTGGAGACACCTACATACTTGATATTTAAACGCCATAGTTCAGTTATGTCCACATATGATCATATATGGACATGTGGGGACTAGGATGCAATTTTACTTAGGATACAATATAGAGGAACCTAATTTATCATACCATTTTTGAATTTTAGTTTGAATATCTGGATAAAGTATTAGAACTTGTTAAACTAGTGTATGTGACCACGTATGTCCACATGTGTGGACATGGCACATGTGGGGACTAGGATGCAATTTTACCTAGGATGCAATTTAGGGGAATCTAATTTATTATACCATTTTTGACTTTTAGTTTGAACATCAAAATAAAGTATTAGAACTTGTTAAATTAGTGTATGTGACCACATATGTCCACATGTGTGGGCATGGCGCATGTGGGGACTAGGATGCAATTTTACTTAGGATACAATATAGAGGAACCTAATTTATCATACCATTTTTGAATTTTAGTTTGAATATCTGGATAAAGTATTAGAACTTGTTAAACTAGTGTATGTGACCACATATGTCCACATGTGTGGGCATGGCGCATGTGGGGACTAGGATGCAATTTTACCTAGGATGCAATTTAGGGGAATCTAATTTATTATACCATTTTTGACTTTTAGTTTGAACATCAAAATAAAGTATTAGAACTTGTTAAATTAGTGTATGTGACCACATATGTCCACATGTGTGGGCATGGCGCATGTGGGGACTAGGATGCAATTTTACCTAGGATGCAATTTAGGGGAATCTATTTTATTATACCATTTTTGACTTTTAGTTTGAATATCTGGATAAAGTATTAGAACTTGTTAAACTAGTGTATGTGACCACATATGTCCACATGTGTGGACATGGCGCATGTGGGGACTAGGATGCAATTTTACTTAGGATACAATTTTGTAGAAACCTTGTTTATTATACAATTTCTGATCTTGAATGGAAATATCTGAATAAAGTATTATTTGAGAACTTAATAAACTAGTGTATGTATTCACATATGTTCACATGTGTGGACACAGTGGATATGGGGAACCTAATTTATTACACCACTTCTGCCCCTTAGTGGAAATATGAGGAACCTAATTTATTACACCACTTCTGACCCTTAGTGGAAATATGAAAATACAGTATTATTTGAGAACTTAATTAATAAACTAGTATATCTAATCACATATGTCCACATATTTAATCACATATCTATGCATGTAGCAGATGGATATAAGACTATCTCCTAGGATACAATTCTGTACGAACCAAACTTATTCCACCATCTCTGACCCTTAGTTCAAATACCTAACTAAAGTATTAAACTTAATAAACTAGTAACTAGTACATCCAACCATAAAAGTTTGAATATGCCTTCCACATTCCTCAAAGTCCCAAAAACTACAATCTTCAAATCTCGTCTTCAATCCCGTTATTATTCACACCTACTTTGCACACATAAATAATTTTTCAAACATGAAAATTAGGAATAACAGTGAAAAATATGAGATTAATAGGATAGCAGTGGATTAATAGGATAAGATATAGGAATAACGAGGACGTCGGAATTGCATCCGCGATGACGGGCGTCCACGTGCTAGTGTCGCATAGCTGGCAATCGAGTTTTATTCCTGACGAGGTTACGGGACACGATGTCATTGTTAATGCCTGGTAAATGTTACGGGGCATGGCAGCCAGTCTTAAGCAGAGCATTTTCCTGGGTGTGGTTATACCCCGTTGTGTCTCACCGCCTTACAAGGGGTGGGGCACCTTATACTAACGCAGCCTGTACCCCTATAAATTGGACGATCGACGATAGTGGATCTAAAGCTCTTTTGATAGTCGCTGGATCGACGTGTTCTGAGCTTCGACAGGATGATCCGGTACCTTGTGAGTAGACGTCTTTCTTCGTTATTTCCTGTTCCTTTACTTCACTTTTTAGTATGTTCAAATTTGTGCTGAGTTTATTACAAAATAGGCTTACAAAATTCTCTTAAATATTTTTGTGTCGAAATGTTTTGTCAAATAATTGTATTATTTGCGATTTTTATTTTCATCAGGATAGTAATTCTAGGTCATTTAATATATGACCTTTCTGTATATTACCTAGTATTCCTATTTTCTTATTCTTCAATTTTTTGATCGTTCTACCTAAATTAAATTGAATTTGTTTAAGATGAATCTCAGTGTCTATTATTTTAAAATTTTTGTTAACCAACACAGTCAAGGTACATGACCCACAATTTCAAAATTTGAATCACATAAATATTATTATAAAAATCAAGATCGATTAGTAGAATTTTTATTTTTCAAATACTGCCAGAAGGTCTTTTACTTATTAAGCAACTAAATATTATTAAAATATGACAAGAAATAGTACTGAATTATACATGTGTACAAATAATATTTAATCATTTCTCACTCTTGGTATTAGACAATACAAGGCATTCCTCAGATCACTATTTCAAACAAATTACCCAAATTAAATGTAAATAATTTTCACTTAAATAATATTTACATGTCTATATAAATCATATTCACGTAACATTTACAAAAATAATATTCACATAATGTTTACAAAAATAATATTCACATAATGTTTACAAAATTAATATCCACATAACATTCACAAAAATTATATTCACACAATATGAATATTATTAAACATACATAGTGTATCAACAAAATTTTTCTTGTCCTCAGATTCTTCTTTTTGTCACCTTGCACGTGGTTTGCTGTGCACCACAGTGGTATGGCGGTGGTCATCCTGGAGCGTATGGTGGCCACGCAGCCCCAGCGCCATTAGGACCCGACGGAAGAGTGGTAGACACACCGGAAGTGGCACAGTTGAAGGCAGCTCACTTAGCCGCGCTAGCTGACGCCAATGCTAGGGCGCCCAAAGGCCCCGGGGGCCCTGGTGGCCCTTATCCCGGCCCTGCTGGTCCCTATGCACCTGGAAACTATGGCGCACACTACAGGTTTTAGATATTTATTTTAGTAACGGAATTTACAGATATTTCTCATTCATCTTTTAATATATTTGACTGTGGGTGGTTTTTTTTTAATACGTTTCAATTTAATGTTTAACATTTTTTACTGGAGGTCTTACTTGTACTTTTTCTTTTAATAAGTTTCAATTTTTAATGCTTTATAATTTCGACTGTGGGTATTTTTTCTTTTAGTAAGTTTCAATTTTTGATGCTTTATAATTTCGACTGTAGGTATTTTTTCTTTTAGTAAGTTTCAATTTTTAATGTTTTACATTTTTGACTGTAGATATCTTCTTTTTTCAATAAGCTTCAATTTAATCTTAACTAATTTTCATCTGATCTTATTACTGAATTGATATTGTATTTTATATCTAGATTTGTATTAAGATCTGTTTGCTGTAATTTTAGTGGCATATAGACAGTAGGTGTTGTTTGATTTATTAGCAAGAATTAGCTTATTGTTTATATATCACATTTCTCATTTTAATTTTAACATATGATTTATAAACCACATCTGAAGTTGAAGGGTTAAACACCTATATTTACGAAGACTACACAAGTTCATTTCAATATTTGAAGTAGCCTTTGTCTTTCATCATCCACTAGTTAAAGTCACGTTACATAATTTCCAATCCTTTATAATCATACATAATTAAATACTATAGAAGTTTATTATAATATTCGAAGTAGCCTTTGTCTTTTGTCATCCACTAGTTAAAGTCATGTTACATAATTTCCAATCCATTATAATCATATATAATTAAATACTATAGAAGTTTATTTTAATATTCGAAGTAGCCTTTGTCTTTTGCCATCTACTAGTTAAAGTCACGTTACATAATTTCCAATCCTTTATAATCATATATAATTAAATACTATAGAAGTTTATTTTAATATTCGAAGTAGCCTTTGTCTTTCATCATCCACTTCCTAAAGACATGTTGCATAATTTCCATTGCTATATAATCATATATAATTGAACACCACACAAGTTTATTTTAATATTTGAAATAGCCTTTGTCTTCTATCATCCACTAGTTAAAGTCATGTTACATAATTTCCACTGTTTTATAATCACATATGAATTATAATCATATACTTGAATACCATGCAAGTTTATTTTAATACTCAAAGTAAACCTCGTCTTTCATCATCCACTTGTTAAAGACACGTTACATAATTTCCTGATACTCAAGTAACTGCTGTATCCACACGTCTAAATCTTTTTTAACCTGATCTCCAATTTGTAACATTATGATTGCAATCTTCCAGTGGACCCCCAGCTCCATTAGGCCCTGACGGTCGCGTAGTAGACACCCCAGAAGTCCAACAAGCGAAAGCGGTGCACTTCTCTCTGTTCAACGCCGAAGCGCAACGTCCCGCTCCACCGGCACCCGGTCCCCACAACCCATCATGGAACCCCTCAGGCGCCTACAATCCCTCCTGGAACGGAAACAGTTGGAACCAGTATTAGAACGATTTTAATTTCTTTCATGTTCTACCTCGATCCACTCGATCTACCTCGATCATTGTGACAGAGAAAATATTACTGAAAATCAACTCTATATTTTTTTCTCTATTTTCATTCTTTCTTATTGCGGTTGCGGCTGGTCATTTGCAATCGTGTTTCATCTACCTCCTTTCCTTTCTTCAAAAAAAATGTCTTTCTTCGTGAGATTTTTAATCTTCGTTAATTTTGTAAAAAAGTGCAAAAACGTAAAAAAGTTGTGAAAAGGAAAAATTATTGGTTGAAAGTGAGAACGTTTGGAATAGTTCTCGAATGGAAATGGAATAACGGTGAAGTGTACCGTTACAGATATCCTTCTGCAAAAATCTTGTCACATTCCTCTTCAAGGTGATCTCTTCATCGCTTTCGCGTTTGTTAGTCAGGGAAAGTGTACACGAGAGCACTCGAACAATAGATCCGTAGTCACTTTTCATTTCAATGAAATGAAATTTATTTCTCACTTAGACAAATTTCGGTTATACAATTTTAATTGTAATTTGTGAGTCTAATTTTTCAGAATTGCAATTTTGATGTAAATGAAGTTTGTTCGAATATTTTCGTGTATTAACCTCTTGAGTAGCGCAGGTGAATAAATTTGTAAATTATGCTTGTACATAATGGAGATTATAATTAATCCCTAGCAAAGACTAGTTTTTTTTTCAACCTGCAAACCTACAAGTGAAAACGAACCTAACCTAACCTTCATTAATCTACTTAATTCATTTTGCCCCAGTACTCATTTGACACTGCATTTATTTTCATATACACATGTACATATGTGTTCCCAGTATACTCATATGAGTACTCAAATTTTTAATGTGAAGAGATATATTATTTTTATTATAACTATTTATTTGTTCAATAAAATATTGAATATCTATATAGTGCATTTAAAATGAGTACACAGCATTGACTTTCATCTACACATGTGCACATGTGTTCGCAGTATACTCATATGAGTACTCAAATTTTTAATACGAAGAGATGTATTATTTTCATTATAACAATTTATTTGTTCAATAAAATATTGAATATCTATACAGTGCATTTGAAACGAGTACACAGCATTGACATTCATATACACATGTGCACATGTGTTCCCAATATACTCATATGAGTACTCAAATTTTTAATACGTAGAGACATTATTTTTATTGTAACAATTTATTTGTTGAATAAAGTATTGAATATTTATACAGTGCATTTAAAATACACATATACACATGTACACATATACACATATATTTACACATATGTTCATATGTTCTCAATATACTTATATGACTACTCAAATTTTTAACATGAAGAGACATATTATTTTTATTATAACAATTTATTTGCTGAATAAAGTATTGAATATTTATACAGTGCATTTAAAATACACATATACACATGTACACATATACACATATATTTACACATATGTTCATATGTTCCCAGTATACTCATATTAGTACTCAAATTTTTAATATGAAGAAATGTATTATTTTTATTATAACAATTTATTTGCTGAATTAGGTATTGAATATTTATACAATGCATTTAAAATACACATATACACATGTACACATATACACATATGTTTACACATATGTGCATATGTTCTCAATATACTCATATGACAACTCAAACTTTTAACACGAAGAGACATATTATTTTTATTGTAACAATTTATTTGTTGAATAAAGTATTGAATATCTATACAAGCATTGTTATTTTTCCAAAAAAAATAAAATGCTAGTGGGAACACATGGCTTGAAATGTTTGAAGACATATTATATAGAATGATATATGTAGAATGACTTATATAGAATGACATATATAAAAATGACAGATGTCTCACATACAACGACTTACATTTTTGTAGGCAAATGTTAAAGAACAGTCAACTGAAATCAAAGTTTCAGGACCTTAAAGCGTGGCATTCTTCGTCAAGCATGATCAATCACGTCCTTGTTGGCAACACGAATTACCGTCTAGGATACACGGTGTCACGTTCTCCGTTTTTTAAGCGATGGAACCGGTTCCATGGTGTCTGCACGTTGGGGTTAGTTCAACTACCGGTAGCCGACACGATTCACGGATCATTTGCTCGATCAGAACTCGGATCACGAGTCATTTATCGTGATCCTTATCGCGACGACTGCGTTTAATTGGCCATATAAAGCGTGATGAATAATGAAATCCGATCTTTCGTTCAAGGTTAAAATCTGGATCAAATTTCTTCTTATCGATGGATCGGGAGAAGTAAACAAGGAAAATAGATGGGGAGATGAGGATTTATGGTGGTTGCAAATTGAAGTAGATGATGAGTTCTGATAATGGCGATGTAGATAGAGAACACTCGATATATTGCACAAAAGACGTAAGGTATATGGAAACAAAAGATTTGTTTGGAGATTTTTAAGAAATCAAACGACTTTGTTTAATAAATAGAATTAATAATTCCTCAAATTTTCAAATTCCTAAATCCCCAAATCTCTAAGTCCATAAATCCCTAAATCTCCAAATCCCCAAATCCCCAAACTTCCAGAAACAATGATACGTTTGAAACCTGGTTCACCTAAAATATGAGTCCTAGCTACGCCACTGTACAATAATATCTCGATCAAGTCATTTCGCATAAAATATCGAAAGAGATTTGAACAATCGGCATCACTCGAATTCCGGTTAATGTCAGGAATTCTTATGTGGTATTCACGTTTCACAACGCATAGATCAAACAGGGAGTGCTCTTCCTTTCCATTTCACATTGGCCGACGCCTACATTACCTGCTTACTTATTTACCTACATTCAAGCGTGAGTAATCTGGGACGATGTAGGATGACGGAATAAGTGCATGCCCACATAGGTTAAATCAGGATCCATATGGTATACTTGAAATTTTCAAAGGCATATGAAAGAGAAGATACAACTGAACCAGATACATGAGTATGGATAATAATCGTATGGTCAAGGTTAGAGAGGAAGTAGGTAAAGGATGTGATTGCAGAAACATAAATTAATATCTAATTGACTGTATAAATGAATGCAAAAGGAAGTGTCGAGAAAATACAAGTAATGTATTATGTGAGAAATAGATAAAATCGAAAACAAGTGATTGAAATAGTAGATAAGTATTGAAATGAAAATTTATCAGTCGATAGATTATGCGCATTAGCTCTATCAGTAATGTATCGGTAGTCAAGTAAGAAATACGCGAGCTAATAGATTAATAGGCTAAGTGAATTAATTAGTGCGGTAGGCTTGTCGATAAAGTAGAATATGAATATAGTACAGAAGTCAACCCACAAGTTGGCGCATGAAGTTCAAAGTAAAAGAAATACCACGCATCGAATTACCATGCGTCGAATTACTATGCGCCGAATCACCACATATCGAATTACCACGCGCCGAATACTCAAGGATCAAATTACGATACGTCGAATTACTACTACCGCATCGAATTACCACGCGTCGAATTACTACGCGCCGAATCACTACATATCGAATTACCACGCGCTGAATACTCAAGGATCAAATTACAACGCGTCGAATACCCACGCGCCGAATTACCACGCGTCAAATTACCACGCGACGAATTACTACGCGCCGAATCACCACACATCGAATTACCACGCGCCGAATATTCAAGGATCAAATTACCAGGCGCTCAATACTCAAGGATCAAATTACCACGCATCGAATACCCACGCGCCGAATTACCACGCGTCCAATTACCAGGAGTCGAATTACCACGCGTCAAATTACCACGCGACGAATTACTACGTGTCGAATCACCACATATCGAATTACCACGCGCCGAATACTCAAAGATCAAATTACCACGTGCTGAATATTCAAGGATCAAATTACCACGCGTCGAATACCCACGCGCCGAATTACCACGCGTCGAATCACTAGGAGTCGAATTACCACGCGTCAAATTACCACGCGACGAATTACTACGCGCCGAATCACCACATATCGAATTACCATGCGCCGAATTACCACGCGTTAACCCGGAGTCGAATTACCACAAGTTGAATTACCACGCGTCAAATTACCACGCGTCCAATTACCCGGAGTCGAATTACCACAAGTTGAATTACCACGCGTCAAATTACGTATTATAGAGAACGTTACAAAGGTGGTATACAACAAGGAGAGTCCCCACATTCAATATTCTCTGAAAACTATAAGTTAGGATACCTAGTTCCCATGGTCCCCAGAGTCTCCACAGTTCCAGACCCCCAGATTCCCTATATATCCACAGTTTCAGTCTCCAGTGCCAAGTTCGCTAGAACCTCCACAGTCCACAGTCCCTCGGATCCCCAGGTCCCCACATCCCCACATTCTCTACAGTTCTCGAATTCCCCAGATTCTCACAGTCCTCGGAATCTCCATATTTCCTAGCTTCCCAGAATCCCTACGTTCCCTTGGATCATCACAGTCTCTACTGTAGACAAGCCCCAGTGCCAAGTTCGCTAGGACCTCCACAGTCCACAGTCCCTCGGATCCCCAGGTCCCCACATCCCCACATTCTCTACAGTTCCCGAATTCCCCAGATTCTCACAGTCCTCGGAATCGCCATATTTCCTAGCTTCCCAGAATCCCTACGTTCCCTCGGATCATCACAGTCTCTACTGTAGACAAGCCAGGAGTTGGCGCGTAGGTCGAGCCAGAGTAAAAGAAGCCACTCGCTCCACCTAACCACCGTGAACACTTCCAGTTACATTTCGGCAAATAAGAATAATGACCATAACTGCTGAACGCGATTCGCGCTATCTCGAGACGTTTGCCGACCGTCATTTTTGGTCTAATTGGTGTTAGCCGATATACCGAAAATGGCGTCCATTTTTCTATTCTGACAAATAGTAGCTGGGTTAGCTTCAAGTTGACATCGGTGAGCTGTTAATGAATTAGTAAATAAACTATCAAGTGTATAAACTAATAAGTAGACTAGCTAGTGAATAACTGAGTAGACTAGTAAGTGATAAAAGGGAACAAACAAAAATTCTTTTATTTCACCACGAAGAAGCAGTAAAAAAATGGAATACATATCGGTGGCAAAACTTCTTAATTTAATAACATTTTCATCAACACAAGATACACCGTGTCACAGATATAAACACTTAACGATAACTTAAAAATTTCACGATCACTTAACAATTGTATGGCAATGAAATTCATCTAGGTATACAAAACAACTGGAATAAATCTAAAATAAACATTATTTACAAAGTACAATAGTGTCTACTATATTCGTCATTCGACTTCTGTCAACTTTCAACCGGGAATTCTATGCATTTCAAAATGCCGAACAAAACAGTAAAAAAGTCAGGTACAACATAAATTCTTCTCTCTCAAGTCTAAATGATCGAATGTTAACTGTTTGACAAAAGCTCGAATGATTTTGGTTTCTTGTAATCCTTAATTTACATTATTTTTACATTAAATTCAATGAGATTCGGACAAGCTCGAAGATAATCGGTATAAAAAGAGCTAAAGCAATACTCCAAGATATTCTACGTACTCGCTCATCCGAACTTCATTAAAAATTCTTAATATTTTTTCAATAATAAAGGTCATTCTGCGTGGAAAGTGCCATGGCACGAGCGTGAGCCTTCATGTGTGCCTCGCGCGCCCTCATCACTTCCGGCGTGTCCACGACGCGTCCATCCGGACCGAGTGGTGCGAAGGGTCCTCGATAACCCACCGGTGTCGTGTGTTTATACGTAACGCGTAGCGGAGTAAGGTAAATTAAGTTCTTCTGTCCGTTGAACGCGTCGAACTCGTAAAACTCCGACGCTTTCGATGCTGCTCGAGCTCGCGTCGATAAGTAGGAGTTCTTTGGCTCCGCCATCTTGAATGAGAACGACGACTGAGATTAAAATGGATGTATGGATGATGTTTATATTGTTCTGGGAGAGTATTCTCAGTTTTGGAAGATTGACTTAGAGGAGGGTGGAGACTTGGGGATTTGGGAATTTGGACGTGTAGGGATTTAGGAATTTGGGAATTTTGGAATTTGGGAATTTTGGAATTTTGGAATTTTGGAGTTTTGGGAATTTGGGAATTTGGGTATTTAAAGGTGTGGTGGTTTAGGGATTTGGGGGTTTGAAGGTGTAGGGATTTAGAGATTTGGGGACTTGAAGGTGTAGGGATTTAGGGATTTGGGGACTTAGAGGTTTGGGGACTTGAAGGTGTAGGGATTTTGGGGATTTGGGGACTTAGAGATTTGGGGATCCAGGGATTTGGGGACTTGAAGGTGTAGGGATTTAGGGATTTGGGGACCTAGAGATTTGGGGATCCAGGGATTTGAGAATGTAGGGATTTGGGGGTCTAGGGATTTGGGAGTCTAGGGATTTGGGGGTCTAGGAATTTGGGGATTTAGGAATTTGGGGATCTAGGGATTTGGGGGTCTAGGGATTTGGGGGTATAGGGATTTGGGGATCTAGGGATTTGGGAATGTAGGGATTTGGGAATGTGGAGATTTGGGAATGTAGGGATTGGGGAATGTGGAGATTTGGGAATGTAGAAATTTGGGAATGTAGGGATTTGGGAGTGTAGGAATTTGGGAATGTAGGGATTGGGGAATGTAGGAATTTGGGAATGTAGGAATTTGGGAATGTAGGGATTTGGGAATGTGGAGATTTGGGAATGTAGGGATTTGGGGATCTAGAGATTTGGGAATGTAGGGATTTGAGAATGTAGGGATTTGGGGATCTAGGGATTTGGGAATGTAGAAATTTGGGAATGTATTGATTTGAAAATTCAGCAATTTGAAGATTTTATGATTTGGACTTTAGGCATTTGCAAATTTCTGAATTGGTGGATCCGTAAAATAGTAGACGTGGAATGTGTAAAACTTAATATTATTAGTTTACGAAAATCAAGAATCTGAAACGAAGGAACTTCACAATGGAATTACCAATTAAAAAACTTGAAAATCTACCCACATCAACCCATAAACTTAACCTTCCCTCAATTTTAGCTACTTCCCTCCACCAAACCCAATTTCTACAATAATTCCAAAGTATTTACCTCAGGGGTGTTCATCATCCTTCCATCCCTAGGCGAAGGAGCAAACATTCTCTGACGCTGACGTTTCGGCATCATCGGCTCATCCATCATGGAAGGTGTCATATACGACATCTCATTGTTTTCGTACATTTCATAATCGTTTCTCGCCTTCCTCAATCTGTCTACGGTTTCAGCGTGCATAGCCAGATGCGCAGCTCTCGCGTGGGCCACTTCCGGTGTGTCCATGACCATCCCATCGTTGCTGAGGGGCGCTGGAGGACCACGGTATTGGTAATATACTCTGTCTTCGTATATTTCGGCGCTTGCCAATGTGGCTAACGTTGCCAGGACTATCTAAAAAACAAATCAAAGTTAACATTTTGTTAATTATTTTTCGTTTTTTTGTTTTATTACCTTTGGAGGAATTTTAAAAATATGAGGTTGATAGTATAATTACATTTAGTCAAATTTAAAAATTACAAATTTTTGGGACTTTTATTAAGTTTTATTACAAATCTTTGGGACTTTTATTAAGTTTTATTTCAAATCTTTGGGACTTTTATTAAGTTTTATTACAAATTTTTAGGACTTTAATTATTTATATTAAAAAGAAGTTTTTCAGAAAAATTTTTGTGAAAATTACTGATATATTTTTAGTATGCGATTTCTTTTGTTTTTCTACAAAATTTACCTCTTATATATTCAATTTTAAATTGTTGTTCAGAAGAAAAAGATGAATTATTGTTTTGTTAAGTTAGGTTTGCTACCAATCTCACAATTTAAAAGAAACTCAAAAATCTGAACATTGGAACCTTCATTTTTAATTTGTTTCTTCATTTTCATTTTTAATTTATAGTAAGTTGACACGAAGTGACTTCTTCATTAATTTTATAAAAATAAAATATTCATTATTTACTTAATATTTCTTGTGTTTAAAATAAAAATTCTTTAACAAATTGACTCAATTTTAAATATATAATTTTTATTAAACTTATTAGTATTAAAAATATTATTAATTTATTTATTAGAAACGTTATTATTTATCAAAATATATATTCATTAAATATGACCAACTTAATTAATTATAATTTAACAATTTTTAAACTATACTCATTTTATTACGACTTTTTGTACATTTTTTTTGATAACGTTTAAAATTAATGAATCCACTGTTCGTCCACGATATCCTCTTTTTTCGTAAATTGTTTAAAGAAGCAACCTTGTTCAAAATCGAACTTACGATTAGTCTCATGCTGCTGAAACACCAGCGGCCACGAAATAGACGTCTTGGTTGCGAATGTGCCAATATCGATCGATCGATCTAGCTTTTATAGGGTTGCGGTGTCGAGGCGGGAAACCACGTTACGATGGTCACATCTGGGATGAATATGATACTTTAATTGTTTCGCTACTGGTGATGAATATTAACCGTGACCCTATCAAGTGCATCCACTTTAAATTAATCGAACTCCTAATAATTTCTGCTCCATATTCGAAATCTCGAAACACTGCTAAAAATTTATTTTTACTCAACAAAACTATTATCAATTCAATTGCAATTTTCTGTTTTAATTCATAGAACAGCAGTGTACAATATTTCAAAATTCAATTTGTTAGCTAACAAATATATCTTCCATGACAAATCAATCTTTCAATATGAAACTAATAAAAGAACTGGAGAAAGAAATTTCGAAGAACAAAAATTTTAATTAAAATTCTAATGTTTGATTACCAACTTGATAGACTAGTAATAAGATTAATTTGTAGAAGAATTAGTTTTAGAATAAATTAAAAATAAATTGGAAAAAATTAAATAAGTTGGTAAAAATGATTAAAATGTATAATTGACGTGATCGAAGAGTACTATGTTTCGTAGAATGTAGAAATAGAATAAAAAATTGAGGAGCGACGATAAAATGTTGATGTCGTCCTCAAACGTCCCTGATATCCCGTCTCGACTTTTCGAGGCCGAGTTTTCACGCACTGCAATCTCACCCTTCGCCGCAAAACTTAAGCAAAAGTTTTTCTGCGGTTTCAAAACAAGCCTTATTCACGGACGACTGGACAGGATCATAGCTCTCCTAGTGATCTAACGATCCCTTCAAGGTAGTCCTCTTTCTACGACGAGGACTAGTTCCCTTTATAAACGATGCTTCTGAGTTATTAAACTATTGTTACCTTCCACATTCTAAATTTGGTATCTTTTTTAATGAAAATTAGAAATTAGAATTTTGGAAATTTTTAGATACAAGTACGACAATTTATTTTTACTTTTTTGTCGTTCTTTTGATATAATAAAGTTTGACTGTGAATTTTAGAATCTTTTTTGATTACTGTTGTAGAGTAATTATTATTGTTTGAAGTTTTTAAGAAAGTGATTGTCGAAAGAATTTTGTATAATGTTTTTAACATATTCATACTCTGACGTGATTGTAAAAATTATGAAAATTTTTGAAGAATTTTTTATAACGTTTTTAATAATTTCATATTCTAATCATTGTAAAATATGAAAATTTCTGAAGAATTTTGTATATTATGTTTTTAACAATTTGATACTCTAATGTGATTATAAAATGTAAAAAATAATGGTAAAATGATAAAATATGAAAACTAAAGTTATTAATTATAAAATGTAAAAAATAATGATATATCAATATCTGATAAGTGAAATTATCGAGAAAACGAGTACGCTGGCCTGGTTTGGTTAATTAACACTGATTCAAATTCCCTGTTTATGTAACACGATACAATTTGGTCGAGAACTTTAAGAAACGATTGCGCAAAGTTTCACGCAAACTTGTTCCAATGCGTAGATAAGAGATATGATGAACCTTCACTTTACAATTAATTTGTAACAAAAATTTTGTGTGGCATAATTACATGTATTTAATCACACATATATCTTCATTTTGTATTATAACATTTTATTTTGACATTTTATTTTAACATTTTATTATAACATTTTATTATAACATTTTATTGTAACATTTTATTATAACAATGAAAGTATCATATGACTAATGTATCTAGTAATGTATCTGTTACCGTGAAAGACCGAAATCTGGTGAATGTCGACATTCACATAGTCGCTTGGTGTATGTCCGAAATATTTGCTAAATACCCTTATTTCTGACTTACACCGGTAAATGTCGACATTCACCTTGCACTAATGGTGAATGTTGAACATGTCGGAGATTTATATTTTCTTCTCCGTAATTCAGTCGCTATAAAACGTCACAAGGGTGACGTAACTTTTTCGCCTCTCTTTCTGAGAGGAGAGACCAAGAATTTAAAACACATAGTACATTCTAAGCATACGTGTTCTTCCTCCGTGGCCTATTCTGGCGTGAGTTTCATATAGTATACTGAACAATTTTTCATTGGTAACATAATACTGTATATTCGTTTCCCCTGATTTTAATGGTACAATTAATTTCCTTTCATCATTAATTTTTAAAACGTCAAAACGTTTTAATCGTCTGTAATCCAAAGGTGTGTTGCACTTAGTTTTAGCAGAAACCACTTCAGAAAGTATTTTAGAGTACTTTTCTTGAGAAAAATAAAAACAGTTGTCTTCTCGTTTACCCGCAATTAATGCATTTAACTTTTCAAGAAAAAGATCACGATTTACTGCAGTATCCATTCAGTATAAATTACGGTATTGGAAAAAAATTAAGAAAACGTTGCTCGCATCATCAAAGTTTGCATAAGATTGACAAAGCTGACTGACTCCCAGCAGAACACAGGATTTGGCGGGAGAGAGCCAGTCGCTTCTTTGTCGGCTCCTCTCTTTTGGACCTCCACCAGAGCATATCTGTGATTCACCGGTGAATGTCGACATTTTCCAATTTCGGTCTTTCACGGTAACATATCTAATAACGTATGTAGTAATGTATGTAGTAATGAATCTTATAATTTATTATAAAGTTTGTTTGAATTATTATAAATCATTGAAAATTTTGAAGTGCTACAATGTCGCCATTATTAATACGTAATGGCTGAATTACACGCACGTTGAAGAATGCTTCGAACCCAATTGATAATACTCGACCTTTCCGTACAAAAAATCGACGAATCATGATGATCAAGTTCGTTCAACAGGAACGAATCCACGTTCCTCGCGTTTCTTCTCACGTCTTTCAGAGGCACCACTGACCTATTTCGTAATAATTACGATCTAGAGCTAACTTATGAAAGGTAATCCCATTTCCACGAAACTTCCATCGATTTGCCCTTCACAATTTAGGCAGTACACGTCAATGTAGAAATTAATTATACTAATTATCAGATAATTTACTGTCTGATAGTTTTTTTTTAAATTTTAACTCTATTTTAAAATTGTTAATTTTTAGTGCAAAATTAAATTATTTAGATTTCAATTTTTTTTGGAATTATTTAATTCAATTTTTTCAAATTATTATTTGTCTTTAGAATTAAAGGAATGTGTAAGCTGTAGTTTTTCAAAATTGATTGATTTAAAGTTGAATTATGTAGACTTTAAATCTTCAAAATTAATCAAACTTGTAAATTATAATTTTTCAAAATTAACTAATACAAGGTTAAATTACACAGATTTTAATTCTTTAAAATTAACTAAACTTTTGTCACAAACTTTTGTCAAAATTGATCAAAAACTTGAACATGCAAATTATAATTTTTAAATACTGAACAATTTTTCATTGGTAACATAATACTGTATATTCGTTTCCCCTGATTTTAATGGTACAATTAATTTCCTTTCATCATTAATTTTTAAAACGTCAAAACGTTTTAATCGTCTGTAATCCAAAGGTGTGTTGCACTTAGTTTTAGCAGAAACCACTTCAGAAAGTATTTTAGAGTACTTTTCTTGAGAAAAATAAAAACAGTTGTCTTCTCGTTTACCCGCAATTAATGCATTTAACTTTTCAAGAAAAAGATCACGATTTACTGCAGTATCCATTCAGTATAAATTACGGTATTGGAAAAAAATTAAGAAAACGTTGCTCGCATCATCAAAGTTTGCATAAGATTGACAAAGCTGACTGACTCCCAGCAGAACACAGGATTTGGCGGGAGAGAGCCAGTCGCTTCTTTGTCGGCTCCTCTCTTTTGGACCTCCACCAGAGCATATCTGTGATTCACCGGTGAATGTCGACATTTTCCAATTTCGGTCTTTCACGGTAACATATCTAATAACGTATGTAGTAATGTATGTAGTAATGAATCTTATAATTTATTATAAAGTTTGTTTGAATTATTATAAATCATTGAAAATTTTGAAGTGCTACAATGTCGCCATTATTAATACGTAATGGCTGAATTACACGCACGTTGAAGAATGCTTCGAACCCAATTGATAATACTCGACCTTTCCGTACAAAAAATCGACGAATCATGATGATCAAGTTCGTTCAACAGGAACGAATCCACGTTCCTCGCGTTTCTTCTCACGTCTTTCAGAGGCACCACTGACCTATTTCGTAATAATTACGATCTAGAGCTAACTTATGAAAGGTAATCCCATTTCCACGAAACTTCCATCGATTTGCCCTTCACAATTTAGGCAGTACACGTCAATGTAGAAATTAATTATACTAATTATCAGATAATTTACTGTCTGATAGTTTTTTTTTAAATTTTAACTCTATTTTAAAATTGTTAATTTTTAGTGCAAAATTAAATTATTTAGATTTCAATTTTTTTTGGAATTATTTAATTCAATTTTTTCAAATTATTATTTGTCTTTAGAATTAAAGGAATGTGTAAGCTGTAGTTTTTCAAAATTGATTGATTTAAAGTTGAATTATGTAGACTTTAAATCTTCAAAATTAATCAAACTTGTAAATTATAATTTTTCAAAATTAACTAATACAAGGTTAAATTACACAGATTTTAATTCTTTAAAATTAACTAAACTTTTGTCACAAACTTTTGTCAAAATTGATCAAAAACTTGAACATGCAAATTATAATTTTTAAAAATTAACTAATGCAAGGTTAAATAATATAGATTTTACTTCTTCAAAATGAACTAAACTTTTGTCTGAAACTTCTGTCAAAATTGATTAAAAACGAACAGTAATTTTTTAAAATTAACCAACCACATAAATCTTCATTTCTAAATTAGGTTATGTAGGTACCTACATAAAATCAATAATTTAGTTATAACATAAAATGTTTGAATAAAGTTCTCTATTATAAATTTGCTTTTATTAACAAAGTTCTCTACGCAGTCATAGAAATAAGAATAAAATTTTCACGCCAAACGGCCATGAAGGGGTGTTCTCGTTGACTGGAGGAGGTTAGGACATCTTTCTAATTCTTGTATTACGTTGACCACAGCGCATAGTGAAATCAAATATAGGTTAACCGGTGGTTTCTCACGACTCGTTGCTGATTTGTCAGCTACGTTGATTCCGTGGATTATTGATCGCGAATTTATTTCAGACTGACCTAAATAAATATATTCACTGTTACGAGAGATCTAATGAATGAAGAAAATGATTTAAAAACATTGTTCGTTCAAACACATTTATTATTCACATTAATAATTTGTGGAATAATATGTTCCTTCCTTTATTTCGATAATAAATGCTTGGAATTTTACATATTTTTTTTGAATTTATTAAATTGAGGGACAGACAAAAATTAGTATAATTTATTTCTATTATTTTGTAATATTTTTTCAAGTTAAATTAGTATGAAATGAAATGAATTTTCTGTGCAAAATTAATTTATTATGAAATGAATTTCCTGTGCAAAATTAATTTTCTTATATAAAATATGTAAAATAAAATATAATTGCAGGTAATACTAAAAATTAATTTTCTTTGTACAAAAAGAACTAGAATATATAACATTTAAAAAAGTGGTAGTAAAAACTTTTAAAGCTACGTTAATAATTTTCTTGTAATTTCCTATTTACATTAAATTATGTTTTATGTTACAAAAATAATTTAAGATTTCCTTTTTCATCTTCTGACATTCAGCAAAAAAATTGTAAATCTAAAAATTCAAAATATCAAACTAAAATATTAAAGAATATCAAAATAAAAATAGTAAAAAATATCAAACCAAAAATAGTAAAAAATATCAAACCGAAAATAGTAAAAAATATGAAATCAAAGTATTAAAAAATATCAAACCAAAATTATTAAAAAATATCAAACCAAAATATTAAAAAATATCAAACCAAAAATAGTACAGGAATAGAAATATAAAAACTTGACTATAAATCAATAAGTTTGCAATTAAAATTGAAACGTCAACTAAATAGATTAAATTTATCGTTCAGGATGAATATGGAGAAGAATGACAGGCACCTATTTTATAAAAAAAAGGAGGGAACAATTTATTGGCCTAAATTATGTACAATTGTAAATTTTGTCCGAATTTCAGTAAGCACCGACTAATTGTTGTGATTGGTAGTTGTGAGGTTGAAAAGCAGGCTTGCTGAAGGAAGCTTGTGGCGAAGGATATGCAGGTCCTGGTCCTGGAAATACTCGTCCTACAGGAGCACTGTATTGTCCAGTGTTGTAGGGTACTGGAGATTGTCCTGGTGCTGGTCCTCCATAAGCTGCAAATAATAAATTAACTTATATATATATTTCGATGACTTACTTAAATTAGTTAAATATTTCAATTTTATAGTACAAGTCTATTGAGATCAATTTTTAGAAATTTTTTATTTTATTAAACTTTTGAAATTTTGAAATTTGGTCAAACTTAAAATTTTTAAACTTTTATTACATACTTGACTTATATTATATTTGATTACTTTTAATTTTTGTTTAACTTAAAATTTTTTTATTTTGTCATATTTGACTTGTATTATATTTTATTATTTTTAAATTTGGTCAAACTTGAGATTTTTTAACTTTTGTCATACTTTACTCATATTATATTTTATAATTTTCAAACTTGGTCAAGCTTAAAATTCTTTAACTTTGTCATACTTTACTCATATTATATTTTATAATTTTTATTTTAGTCAAATTTAAAAATTGTCAAATTTTGTCATAAGCCTATGTTTCACTATTTTATAATTTTCAAACTTGGTCAAGCTTAAAATTCTTTAACTTTGTCATACTTTACTCATATTATATTTTATAATTTTTATTTTAGTCAAATTTAAAATTTGTCAAATTTTGTCATAAGCCTATGTTTCACTATTTCATAATTTTTAAATTTGGTCAAATTTAAAAAAATTTGTAAACTGCATTGTAAAATTATATTGTTTTATAATTTATAAATTTAGTCAAACTTTAAAATTTCTTTAAACTTTTGTCATTTATCTGTATTGTCTATCATAATTTTGAAATTTGGTCATATTTAAAAAAATTTGTAAACTGCGTTGTAAAATTATATTGTTTTATAATTTATAAATTTAGTCAAACTTTAAAATTTCTTTAAACTTTTGTCATTTATCTGTATTGTCTATCATAATTTTTAAATTTGATCAAACTCAAAAAATTTTTAAACTGTTGTCATTTAATTATATTCTACTTCATAATTTTCAAATTTAATCAAACTTAAAATTTTTTTATTTTTGTGAATCTACACTCTATGTGATAATTGTGAAATGTTAAGAGAAGTATATTTGAGAATATTACATAAGAATAGTACATGAAAATAGTACATTTGAGAATAGTACATTTCTCAAGACATTTAATAATCAAAAATACAAATTCTCCATACCAAACATCACAATTATTAATCTACCACATTTCCAATCTCATAAATTAACAATGACTCACAAAGTCCCCCCAATGTTCCCAAAGAGAAATGTCCAGGTCACGATTATATTCGTAACGATTAACCCCTGCACAGACCATTCTCATAGGAACAATCGAACGATTAAGTTGTTGAGTAACAACCCGACCGTTCCGTTGCATCATTGTACCTCAATGTATTCATAGTCCATCAGAGTTCAATTGTTACTACCAGTCACAAACTTTGCATTCAATTATACATTCTTGATCTTGCATTCAAGATTCGTGATTCAATTTTCTGATACTGCAATAATTTGTCTCGTTAAAAATTCCAGTGGAAACTATTCTAAATTTGTTAAATTTTTATTCCGTCTGGGTCACGCAGGATTCAATTTTCCTCTGAACTTTTTGGTGATAGAAATTTAATTAAATATTGCGGTTGTATTGGACAGATTTAATTTAGTGGATTCTAAAATGTTTTCAGTTTTGTTTTTAAAATAGCTGTTTTAATAGGTGGACGCTGTTTATTCTTGCAAAGTTAATTTTTAAATTTAGTCAAACTTGTTAAATTTAGTAAAATTTGTTAATTTTTGTCCTAAACCTACATTCTACTATTTCATCATTTTTAAATTAGGTCAAATTTGAAATCTAACTTTTCCCAATTTAATTTTTCCTACAATTTACCTATTTTCTATTTCATAATTTTGCATAAAATATTTTTAGATGAAAGAATGAATTGCAATTTACAATGAAATTTGTTCAATATAAATGATGTGTACCTACATTTATACAACTATAATTATACCTACAATTATAACTTAACTTGAGAATTTAAGATACTAACTTTACGTGACATAACCTCAAAATATGCCATAACACCTCAAATTCTCAAGTTATATTGTATCTCAAATTTTCAAGTTAAATTGCATCTCAAATTCTCAAGTTAAATTGTATCTCAAATTCCCAAGTTAAATTACATTTCAAATTTTCAAGTTAAATTAAGTATCAAATTCTCAAGTTAAATTATATCTCAAATTCACAAGTTAAATTCCATCACAAATCCTCAAATAAAATTCCATCTCAAATCCTCAAATTCTCAAGTTACAGTAGTCACAAAAAATATTTGACATTCAAATAAAAATGTGTAGCATCCTCAACGTACCTTGGCCTTGAGCTTCCTGTTTGAATTGTTGCGCCATCTTGAACGCCCTCGCCTCAGCCTCCGCCAACTCCGCTAACCTGGCGGCCTTAAGAGCAGCCACTTCCGGTGTATCGATTACTGTGCCATCCTCAGCGAGGGGTGCAGGGACGAATGGGGTTGGTTTAACCGGTGGTGCATAGTTCTGTTGGCCTACGTAATTCGTATTTCCAGAGTACTGCGGCTGACGATACGACACTGGGCTTGGCTGGCTGTACATGGGCGCTGGTACTGAAATCATTTTATTATTAACTAATAAAAATGAAAAGAAAAAATCAACTAAACGTAAGATTACTGCTGAGTAAGATTACAGGATTACAGGGAAGTAGGATTACAGGAGAGTTTTCTTTTCCTTAAAAGTAAACTTACTAACAGATTAACTTATTAAATTAACAGAATGAAAAATTAATTTTGACGGTACATATCGAATTTTTATACTTAACCTACAAATTTTATAGGCAGTTGCACAGCTGACTAATTATTGTTCTAATGTTAAGACTAAGGTTAAGAATAAGAAAGACTAATATATTAGACATGTGTTGCACTTAGGGAGATTGCATTGTGTAGATTGTGTTTGGGATTGATTCGAAAATTCAAGTACAATGAAAATACGAGTGTGGTTTGTGTCGTTGCACTGCAGACTGCGTCACGAGTGCGTCACAATATATGGTACACTGCAAAGTGCGTCACGAGTGCGTCACGATATGTAGTACATTGTAAAGTGTGTCAAGAATGCGTCACGATATATGGTACACTATAGAGTGCGTCGCAAGTACGTCACGATGTACGGCATACCGAAGAGTGCGTCATGAGTGCGTCACTACGTATGGTATCTTGTAGAGTGCGTCGTGAGTGCGTCACGATGTACGGCACATTGTAGAGTGCGTCATGAATGCGTCATCATGTATGGGACACTACAGAGTTGCGTCACAAGTGCGTCACGATGTATGGCATACCGAAGAGCGCGTCATGAGTGTGTCACGATGTATGGTATCTTGTAGAGTGCGTCATGAGTGCGTCACGATGTACGGCTCATTGTAAAGTGCGTCAAGAGTGCGTCACGACGTATGGTATCTTGTAGAGTGCGTCATGAGTGCGTCACGATGCACGGCACATTGTAGAGTGCGTCACGAGTGCGTCATAATGTCTGGGGCACTATAGAGTGCGTCGCAAGTGCGTCACGATGTATGGCATACCGAAGAGTGCGTCACGAGTGCGTTGAGTGCGTCATGAATGCGTCATCATGTATGGGACACTACAGAGTTGCGTCACAAGTGCGTCACGATGTATGGCATACCGAAGAGTGCGTCGAGAGTGCGTCACGACGTATGGTATCTTGTAGAGTGCGTCACGATGTACGGCACATTGTAGAGTGAGTCGTGAGTGCGTCATCATGTCTGGGACACTATAGAGTGTGTCACAAGTGCGTCACGATGTACGGCATACCGAAGAGTGCGTCATGAGTGCGTCATCATGTATGGGACACTATAGAGTGCGTCCCGAGTGCGTCACGAGTGCGGTATCTTGTAGAGTGCGTCATCATGTATGGGATACTATAAATTGTGTCACGAGTGCGTCACGATGTATGGCAAGATTTTAATGACTCTGAAACATTTTTTACTTACTTTGATCAGTTTTCAAATTTATTTGTGTGCTTAATAGTTGCTTACTTAAGAATCAATCGTGTTCTAAAATATTTTATTTGTTAGGTTAACTTGAATAGTATAATTCTATCTGATCGAATAAAACTCATAAATAAGGAGGACATAGCTTTGATCGACTTTTAAGTTAACTTAACCTCATTTTTAACTTAATCAGCATAATTCTTCTACCCAGTCAATAGGTAGTCAAATGAAACACATTATAAATAATTCTAAGATAAAGAAAACAGTGATCGGTTTTTAACTTATTAATTCTTATAATTACATTATAAATCATCCTAAAATAAAAAAACAATGGTTCAGACCAATTATTAACTTACTTAATACAATCCTACTATCTGATCAAATGCCACATATCAAAAATCATTTCAAAATAAAAAAATTAACACACATCCTTCATAATAACCCTAATCAACCTCATAAATTTTAATAACAAATAATTAAGATACTTTACCTGGAGCAGATTGATAAACAGGTGCAGAGGATTGATAACTCGGCTGCCGAACATAAGTAGGAACCGTAGGTTGCACCTGGGGGTAATTATAAGAAGGTGCCTGCGCACGAGGGCTGTATTCATCAGGTTGGGGTTGATTTTTCAATTGTTCGGCCGCTCTCGCAGCAGCTCTTGCGAATTCTGCAAAATGGGCGGCCTTAGCTTCCGCCACTTCCGGTGTATCGATCACGTTGCCATCTTGACCAACTGGCGCAGGGGGTGCGAACCTCTGAGGTACTGGTTGAGGGTGGATTGGGGGTTCGTTGTAGGATCCTGGGTTTAGGAAACCGGCCCTGCTGCTGGCTACCACCGCAACTAAAATTATCTGCAATTAAATTTTATAATTAAACCATACATTTCTTAAAAAATTAATGTTATTGAATTAATTTTGCTTTAACAAAAAAGTCATTCTAAAATGAAATTTATCTAAAAATGAAAAAGAACAAACTTTCAAAACAATCTTCAAATGTTGTATATAATTGTTTAACAAAAAAAAAATTAAATTGTAAGGGTAACTCTTTTGAATTTTGGTTAAACAGATGTTCACTTGAAGACTCATACAAAATTATTATAATTTATCTAAAATTACTGTAAAATTATTATAATTGTTCCAAAATAAACTTTGTCTACAATAAAATTTATTTAAAAATGAAAAAGAATGAATTTTCAAAACGATCTTTCTTTATTTCTTTGAAAATGAAAAACATTGAATAAAATGTTTTATAAACTTCAGTTTAAATTTCGCATATAATTATTTTGTATAAATTGTTTAACAAAAGAAAGGTTCATTCTTGTGAAGGTTACTGATCGAGTCATGTTCAAAAGTTTAAAAAATTGACTTGCATTATATTACAAAATTATATAACTATTACATTATTATAATATTATAACAAAAATAATAAAACTAGTCATACTATCATAACAAAATTAATTATACACAATAATTAATTTCAGCAACTCGAAGGCTCAATAATTTTACAAAAAGGCTCAGACAAAAATAAATTTTAATAAAATCCACAGAACTTAAACACCAGTGTCTAAAAATAAAGAAGTACAGACTCGCAAATTGCCTATAAATATTTGACAAAAAATAACAAAACAAATAAAAAAATCTGGAAGAACGTAGGATTAAACTCTTGCAGAGCAGAAACTCGCGTGGGCCCGCGACCTGACCTACCCTAACCTTTCACTTTCCTTTGTTCGCAGCGCAGGACTCACCAATCCTCTCATGATCCTTTATCGTTCTCCCGGCTGGTAAACAAAAAAAAAAGTGAGATGGCGCTGCTGGTGGTGGCCAGTACTCGCTCGTTTCCGCTCCAGCCGTGGTCGGACGTTTTGTGTTCCTGGAGAACGGCTGGTTGGTACCATTTATAGCTGTGATCATCCGCCCCCTCCTACGTGGACCACTTGGCCACGACCTGGAGGGAGCCAGGAGGTGATCGGTGAACCCACGTAGCCTGGGAAGCGCGGCAGGAAAAAAGGATACTCCCTCCTTTCGGGCAGGGCAGGACCTTGGCATTTCAACGGGTTCCATGCACTCCAACACCGGAAGGATGTCGGTCCCCCTGCTGTGGATGAGTTACTGGATATTATGAATTTTCTGACCTTTGATTGTGGAGATAGAGGGAATGGTGATAACGTGTGGAAGGTTTTTTGTTGTTAGTTGATTTGGGGGATTTGTGGGGTGAGAGGAGTGAGGGGTGGGGATAGTTATGGACACTGGGTGGGTAGGATTTGGAAATTTGGGAATTTAGGGATTTGGAAAATTGGGGAATTGGGTATTTGAGAATTTGAGATTGGGGAATTAGAGAAATGGGGAACTAGAGAAGTAGGGAATTAGGGGAATGGAAAATGAGAGAAATGGGGAATTAGGGGAATGGGGAATTAGGGGAATGGGGAATTGGGAATTAAAGAAATGGAGAATTGGAGAAATGGGGAATTAGCTAGCGGGAAATTAGAGAAATAGGAAATTAGGTAATGGGGAATTAGAGAAATGGGGAATTAGAGAAATGGAGAATTAAAGAAATGGAGAATTGGAGAAATGGGGAATTAGCTAGCGGGAAATTAGAGAAATAGGAAATTAGGTAATGGGGAATTAGAGAAATGGGGAATTAGAGAAATGGAGAATTAAAGAAATGGAGAATTGGAGAAATGGGGAATTAGCTAGCGGGAAATTAGAGAAATAGGAAATTAGGTAATGGGGAATTAGAGAAATGGGGAATTAGAGAAATGGAGAATTAAAGAAATGGAGAATTGGAGAAATGGGGAATTAGCTAGCGGGAAATTAGAGAAATAGGAAATTAGGTAATGGGGAATTAGGGGAATGGGGAATTAGGGGAATGGGGAATTAGGGGAATGGGGAATTAGAGAAATGGGGAACTAGAGAAATAGGGAATTAGGGGAATGGAAAATGAGAGAAATGGGGAATTAGAGGAATGGGGATTTAGGGGAACGGGGAATTAGGGGAATGGGGAATTAGAGAAATCGGGAATTAGGGGAATGGGGAATTAGAGAAATGGGGAAATAGGGAATGGGGAATTAGGGAAATAGAGAATTAGAGAAATGGGAAATTAAGGGAATGGGGAATCAGAAAATTTGAAAAAACTCCCTATGAGAATTTGACCCTCCAAAACTACGAACCTAACCAAATTTGACCCTTCAAAAATTTTAACCTATAAAAGCTTCAGTAAATAAAATTGTTCTCCATAGCTAATTACATCTTAATGATATTATGCGACCATAAATCACCGGACATCAAGGAAGCCGAGAAGTAAATAAAACAAAGACGTTAATTACATTTTTTCGAGTATCTAGAGTAGCAAGACGATTTAGAAACGGCTACAAAGTCTCAGTTACAATGAAAATGCAATGGGAAGACAAACTGCAATTACATTTCTGGCTGCCAGAAACATGAGAATTCACGTGAGAGTCGTATGGCACGTGAGAAGTGAGCACATTGCATCATATCAGAGGAAGTTACATCCGCGACATTTTTCTCTGTAATTACATATGGGAAATGGTTTTACTCGCGGTGAGAAGTTGTTTATGTTGTAATTACGTTTCAAGATTTGTCATTGTATCGTTTGCATTGGCGTAATTCGTGGTGGCAGACGTCGGCCATGAAAGTTAATTTCGTTAGAGTTGTTTTAGTAGTTTTATAGAGGGACGGAGGATACTTTTGGAATTTAGCAGATTTTGGGGTTTGGTGATTTGGAAATTTGAGAATTTGGGAATTGGGGAGTTAGGGAGTTGGAAAATTAGAGAGTGGGGAATTAGGGAGTGGGAAATTAGGTGAGTGGGATTTAGGGGAGTGAGAAATTAGGGGAATTGGAAATTAGGGAGTTGAAAATTAGGGAGTGGGGAATTAGGAAGTTGGGAATTAGAGAGTTGGGAAATTAGAGAGTGGGGAATTGGGGAGTGGGGAATTGGGGAGTGGGGAATTAGGTGAGTGGGAGTTAGGGGAGTGGGGAATTGGGAATTAGGGAGTTGAAAATTAGGGAGTGAGGAATTAGGAAGTTGGGAATCAGGGAGTAGGGAATTAGAGAGTTGGGAATTAGGTATTATTTGAAATTCACTAAATCCAATATTTTATCTCGTATGAAAATACGAGAATTACTGAATACTGAATCTTGAGACTTTTTAAAATCAGTATTTGTAAATTCTGCACTGTCCATACACAGAGATTGTCCATATATCAATCGAATCGGTCGATTTTGTTTCTCCTTTCGCCCGGCAATTCGTTGTCCTTTAGACAAAGACATATAAACGCAACTATTAAACGACTTACCAACCCTGAACGGACGAAGGACTCGAGCCTCGAAGGACAGTCTTGCAAGGAGAATGCATTCCTTCAATATTTTTCCACTTCGGCCCGTACATTTACGCTGTACGAAGTATAGTGCTTCGAATCGTTGAAAAGAAAGCAGATTCGTATGCAATTTTCGTATTCTGAGATACAGTGATTGTTGTTAATGAGGAACTTAATGAACGATACTTTGTACACCACGTTGCAATAACGTTTTTGATGAACCGCGATGAACGGGTAAGATCATATCACATTCGTATTTACATTCTATGCACATTTTGCAATAGTTCTTTCATGTTATTGCTATTATCTAGCTTTTATTTGCAATAGGAGTAATTAAGTGTGATGAGGTTGTAATTGTTATAAATTATAAATGTAAGTAGGGTGATTTGATTACCGTCAACTCACAAGTTGGCGTGTGGCACAGCTGTTTAAAGCTACTATCAGAATAGAAAAATGGACGCCTTTTTCGGTATATCGGCTCACATCAATTAGACCAAAAATGACGGTCGGCAAACGTCTCGAGATAGCGCGAATCGCGTTCAGCAGTTATGGTCATTATTCTTATTTGCCGAAATGTAACTGGAAGTGTTCACGGTGGTTAGGTGGAGCGAGTGGCTTCTTTTACTCTGGCTCGACCTACGCGCCAACTCCTGGCTTGTCTACAGTAGAGACTGTGATGATCCGAGGGAACGTAGGGATTCTGGGAAGCTAGGAAATATGGCGATTCCGAGGACTGTGAGAATCTGGGGAATTCGGGAACTGTAGAGAATGTGGGGATGTGGGGACCTGGGGATCCGAGGGACTGTGGACTGTGGAGGTCCTAGCGAACTTGGCACTGGAGACTGAAACTGTGGATATATAGGGAATCTGGGGTTCTGGAACTGTGGAGACTCTGGGGACCATGGGAACTAGGTATCCTAACTTATAGTTTTCAGAGAATATTGAATGTGGGGATGCGGGACCTAGGTATGCAAGGGACTCTCCTTGTTGTATACCATCTTTGTAACGTTCTCTATTATACGTAATTTGACGCGTGGTGATTTGATATGTGGTGATTCGACGCATAGTAATTCGTCGCGTGGTAATTTGACGCGTGGTAATTCGACTCCTGGTGATTCGACGCGTGGAAATTCGGCGCGTGGGTTTTCGACGCGTGGTAATTTGATCCTTCAGTATTCGGCGCGTGGTAATTCGATGTGTGGTGATTCGGCGCGTAGTAATTCGTTGCGTGGTAATTTGACGCGTGGTAATTCAACTCGTGGTAATTCGACTCCTGGTGATTCGACGCGTGGTAATTCGGCGCGTGGGTATTCGACGCGTGGTAATTTGATCCTTCAGTATTCGGCGCGTGGTAATTCGATGTGTGGTGATTCGGCGCGTAGTAATTCGTTGCGTGGTAATTTGACGCGTGGTAATTCGACGCGTGGTAATTCGACTCCTGGTGATTCGACGCGTGGTAATTCGGTGCGTGGGTATTCGACGCGTGGTAATTTGATCCTTCAGTATTCAACGCGTGGTAATTTGATCTTTGAGTATTCGGCGCATGGTAATTCGATATGTGGTGATTCGGCGCGTAGTAATTCGTCGCGTGGTAATTTGACGCGTGGTAATTCAACTCGTGGTAATTCGACTCCTGGTGATTCGACGCGTGGAAATTCGGCGCGTGGGTTTTCGACGCGTGGTAATTTGATCCTTCAGTCTGGGGACCATGGGAACTAGGTATCCTAACTTATAGTTTTCAGAGAATATTGAATGTGGGGATGCGGGACCTAGGTATGCAAGGGACTCTCCTTGTTGTATACCATCTTTGTAACGTTCTCTATTATACGTAATTTGACGCGTGGTGATTTGATATGTGGTGATTCGACGCATAGTAATTCGTCGCGTGGTAATTTGACACGTGGTAATTCGACTCCTGGTGATTCGACGCGTAGTAATTCAGCGCGTGGGTATTCAACGGTGGTAATTTGATCCTTGAGTATTCGACGCGTGGTAATTCGATATGTGGTGATTCGGCGCGTAGTAATTCGACGCGTTGTAATTTGATCCTTGAGTATTCAGCGCGTGGTAATTCGATATGTAGTGATTCGGCGCGTAGTAATTCGACGCGTGGTAATTCGATGCGTGGTAATTCTTTTACTTTGATCTTCATGCGATCATCTTCGTAAAATATACTACGTATAATACAAAATCATCTCTAAGGTTATCCAACAAGATCATCTGCAAGGTTACCTAACCAGATCATCTGAAAAATGATTATTAGCGTATATTGACAAATTTTTATTGACACCTTAAAAAAGAGAGGTATCAGAAGTAAGACAAGTGCCGTAAGAACGGTTTTGTCACCCTGTTGCATGTGTAATTACGAAACGACGGGTATTCAGTTCGCAAAGTGTCACAATCGGTGACAACTATTTTCAATTGGCGAAACAATAATTGTAAAAAGGATTTTGCAATTGCGTGCGTGTAATATTAGAAAGCCGGCGTGTTTTTTTCCCGAATCGATAGAGAGAAACCCTTCGATTGCGCAAGTAATGATCACGACATTTTCCAGTTGTTGCACTTTTGGAATTTCACGAAGAAATTCTAATACGTTCAAACGGGGACAAAAATTTGGGGCGATTTAATAATTCGCTCGTAACTAGCTTATAAAAGAATGGTAGTTTAAGGTGAAAGTATCGAAAGAACATTCGTCAAGAATTTTATTCGTCAGTACAAACAATGAATATAAATAATATTATTTATAAGTCGCTAAAATAATTAATAAAAAATGCCATACAAAAATCAAGGAAGTAAATCTTTTCCAGATATTAAACCTCTCTGCATTAATATAAATTATAATCAATTTTAAACAGTTCTTGAATTGCGATAACAAATACATCGAGACTTTTACCTGGTACTTTTATTTCTAAGTCTTACGATTATACAAAAACAAGGTTTATAGACAAGGAATGACAATTCAGTACTACTTTTTTAAAAAAGACTTCCATCAAAATTTTGCTAACTTCAATTTAAAGTTTATGTACAAGATACAGGTTTAAGTACAAGAGGAAGTACGCCTTTCATTTTTAGGTTAGGTCTCAAAGGACACTGACACAATCAAGTTTTTGTGTTCCTATTGCTATGAAACAATTTAAGAAAACAGTAGTATGCATGATCAAATAGAACTAAAGAAGTGTGATTATTCAACTGTCGCAAGGAAAGTGACTCGTTTTTCTTTTTCTTGAAGAAATACAATGTAATTATGCAAGCGTTATTATACGTCTTCCCAGAAATAATTTATACAACTCCCACTAAATTCCTACATTTTGTCAATTTATTTGAAATATATTAAACTAAAAAATTAAGTTCGCATCTTACGTTCCTACCTAACCTAACTTATTCCGCAACTATCATTGATTGTCTCTCATATCTCACAATTGTAAATTTATACTTCGGATAATGATACGCAGGAAATATTATCGTGGCGAATTCAAAAAATGTGGTGTCAAGTCATACGTGGGGTCAACAGAGATCCGGCTTCGAGAATTAAATGTCGATTGATTTACGAAAGGCCCAACCTTTCAGTGGCAATAAGATATCGAGATATCAGTATTCGTTTTTTAGGGACACGCCTTTTGATCGAATCACAAAGTTGTCGACCGTGAATGTTGTCATTTCGTGACATTGAACCGAGCGTTGCTCCAAGGGCGACTTTGGGAGCGGAAACACTCGCATTTGGAGCAAGATATTTTTACCCAATGACGTTTGCTCGAATTTCGATCAATGACGTAATGTAAACACAGATTATTCAAGAACCATAAAACTTTTATTTCTCGAAACACAAATTCACGAATCAATTTTACTTGTCCGAGGTTTGCGAAAGATCAGGACCTGAAATAAAATGGAAGTATTCAAAATAGTAATAAAGGATTGGTTCCACGTAGTCAAATTTATTCACGAATCCAAAAAAAGACAGCAAAATTCGAAAGACAATTTCCAAATTTACAATGCTTCATGAGTACACGAAATTCTTAACCTAACCTTAAAAAATAATTACACTACAACTGCTCGCAAACGAAACTTCCCAAGAGATATAATAAAGTTTCAAGAATGAACAATTCTTCTAGCTGTCTTCAAGCAGTCAAAATTACAAAAACCAGCCGCTCTCTTAAATATATTTCAGGAGAGTATGTACAAGAACCAACGTCGTCAATTTTCAGCGTTCCAGATGCATCGTTCCGTCCTTATAGAATGTATTTCTGAAACAGCGGGGAGGAGTACGTCGAGATGACGAGAGGAACCTGCACCGATTTCCCGGCCTCCGCGATGTGACCGAGCTTCTCGTTGATGTGAGCCGCCGCGTGTTCCGCCTTGGCGAACGCCACTTCCGGCGTGTCGACAACTCGTCCATCGGGTCCTACAGGTGCGGAGGACACCAGTTTGGCGATGGCGAGCGGTTGCACTCCGGTGGCGACTACTGGAGACGCGTAAGCGATCACGTCGGCCGATTTGACGGCTTCGTTGGCTAGGGTGATCCTCTCGTTGATGTGGGCCGCTGCGTGTTCCGCTTTGGCGTACGCCACTTCCGGGGTGTCCACCACTCGGCCGTCTAGGCCGATGGGAGCTCCGGGGACCAGTCGGGCGACCACCGGTGCTGACAGTGTCGCCACCTGGGGGGACAGCAGCACGCTCGGTCGAGCGAAGGCTGCTGCTAGGATAGTGGAGAAAATGATCTGGAAACAGATTTTATCATTAGAATATTTTGATTTTTGATGTTAATATTTGGATGGACAGTCGGGATTAATATTGGGGTTGAAGACATTATTGGAAGGAAGTTTTAATAATTTTGATTGTTGAATTACACTTTTCGGCATTCTTCAAGTTTTCGGTAATATTGAAATATAATGTTAATACTGATTAATATGATGTTAAGTATGATAGAATGTTAGATCTGTAAAAGTGAAATTGGTATGTGGTAATTCGAGGGCTAGGGACTTCATGATATGTATATAAATCAAGATTCAGAAAACATATGAATTCGACTCGTGACGCAGACGTTATCCACTCATGATGCACTCATAACGCACTAGGAAATTGGGAATTAGGGAGTTGGAAATTAGAGAGCTGGAAATTAAGAAGTTGGGAATTAGGGAGTTGAAAATCAGGTATTTGGAAATTAGGTATTTGGAAATTAGGGAGATGGAAATTAAGAAGTTGGGAATTAGAGAGTTGGGAATTAAAGACTGTGGACTTAGGGAGTTGAGAATCAGAGAGCTGGAAATTAAGAAGTTGGGAATTAGGGAGTTGAGAATCAGGTATTTGGGAATTAGGGATTTGGGAATTAGGGAGTTGGAAATTAGAGAGCTGGAAATTAAGAAGTTGGGAATTAGGGAGTTGAGAATCAGGTATTTGGGAATTAGGGAGTTGGAAATTAGAGAGCTGGAAATTAAGAAGTTGGGAATTAGGGAGTTGAGAATCAGGTATTTGGAAATTAGGTATTTGGGAATTAGGGAGTTGGAAATTAAGGAGTGGTGCGCAATCGTGACGCATTCGTCAAGCACTCATGACGCATTTGGGACGCCCTCATCACGCATTCATGACGTACTCGTGACGCACTCATGAAATACTCGTGACGCATCCATGATGCACTGATGAAGTAATCTTGACGCACTTATGACGCACCCATGAAATACTCGTGACGCACCCATGATGCACTCATGAAGTAATCTTGACGCACTCATGACGCACCCATGAAGTACTCGTGACACACTCATAAAGTACTCGTGACGTACTAATGACGCACTCATGAGGCACTCATGACGCATCCATGACAGACCCATGACGCATCCACGACGCACTTACGATGCACATGGTTCAAATGTTATAAACTAGCCTCCTATTTGCACTGCAATTGATTTTGGGTTCAATCTCAATAATTAAGGATCCCTGAACGTATTAATGTAACATTTTAACTTTTTTTCAGTCGTCCTCGCGTTCTAGGAATTAGAATGATGCAACTGTCTAAATAATTGTAGGTTAAGGAGTTACGTCCATAGTATTGTTTGGTTAGCCAAAGTATTAAGCATTGTTAGGTTAAGTATTGCCACTCTAAGAGGAATTTCTATATAATTGAAACTGATGTATAATTATATACAATTGAATAATACTAATGTAATATGACTAAGAAGACTAATATTATATATAATTGAAACTGGCAATATTAAATGATGGTACAGTGTCAAGTACACTTTTACCTTATTAATACCTTAGTACTTTAATACCATTAATATTAAGTACATTGATACCTTAATACCCTATTTGTTATCATGTGGGATATCATTGTTAAATACAAAAAAGTTTGTGTACATCTGAAATCGAGTCTCAAGTACGATTAAATGGAGTCGCTTTAACTGTTTAAGCTTGGATATTAATTGCCCGTGTACATTGATATTGCGTAGCATTGTCAAGTTTCAGAGGAGTTCCTATGTAATACCTGTAATCGAAATGTGGAGAGGTTGAGACATGGCTGTTTCGTATTGAGGGTAGGATTTATTGGGATATTACTGTATTATAGTGCAATATTCAGAATTACAGGATTATAGTATAGTATTTAGAATTACAGTATTATTGATTGACATGCAAGCGAAGATAGGTGACTAATGTGGGTAATGTGGAGTCACATGTGGAGGAGTCACATATGGAGGAGTCACATGTGGTTATTATTCATTAACTGTACACTGTAGGATTGTCACAAAAATTCTGTAGGTTTGTAATCAAAATGGGTAGATCAAAATGGATTGCTAATGTTAATTGCATGGTAGGTAATAATTACCCCTCTTTGTGCAACGCAGTATATTGTGGGAGTAACTGATTGAAATATGGGTAGATCTGATATTAGTTGTCCACCCATTGTTCTTATTCCACTAACAGTGGAGTTGTTACCTAGGGAGTTGAGAATCAGGTATTTGGAAATTAGGTATTTGGGAATTAGGGAGTTGGAAATTAAGAAGTTGGGAATTAGAGAGTTGGGAATTAAAGACTGTGGACTTAGGGAGTTGGGAATCAGAGAGCTGGAAATTAAGAAGTTGGGAATTAGGGAGTTGAGAATCAGGTATTTGGGAATTAGGGAGTTGGAAATTAAGGAGTGGTGCGCAATCGTGACGCATTCGTCAAGCACTCATGACGCATTTGGGACGCCCTCATCACGCATTCATGACGTACTCGTGACGCACTCATGAAATACTCGTGACGCATCCATGATGCACTGATGAAGTAATCTTGACGCACTTATGACGCACCCATGAAATACTCGTGACGCACCCATGATGCACTCATGAAGTAATCTTGACGCACTCATGACGCACCCATGAAGTACTCGTGACACACTCATAAAGTACTCGTGACGTACTAATGACGCACTCATGAGGCACTCATGACGCATCCATGACAGACCCATGACGCATCCACGACGCACTTACGATGCACATGGTTCAAATGTTATAAACTAGCCTCCTATTTGCACTGCAATTGATTTTGGGTTCAATCTCAATAATTAAGGATCCCTGAACGTATTAATGTAACATTTTAACTTTTTTTCAGTCGTCCTCGCGTTCTAGGAATTAGAATGATGCAACTGTCTAAATAATTGTAGGTTAAGGAGTTACGTCCATAGTATTGTTTGGTTAGCCAAAGTATTAAGCATTGTTAGGTTAAGTATTGCCACTCTAAGAGGAATTTCTATATAATTGAAACTGATGTATAATTATATACAATTGAATAATACTAATGTAATATGACTAAGAAGACTAATATTATATATAATTGAAACTGGCAATATTAAATGATGGTACAGTGTCAAGTACACTTTTACCTTATTAATACCTTAGTACTTTAATACCATTAATATTAAGTACATTGATACCTTAATACCCTATTTGTTATCATGTGGGATATCATTGTTAAATACAAAAAAGTTTGTGTACATCTGAAATCGAGTCTCAAGTACGATTAAATGGAGTCGCTTTAACTGTTTAAGCTTGGATATTAATTGCCCGTGTACATTGATATTGCGTAGCATTGTCAAGTTTCAGAGGAGTTCCTATGTAATACCTGTAATCGAAATGTGGAGAGGTTGAGACATGGCTGTTTCGTATTGAGGGTAGGATTTATTGGGATATTACTGTATTATAGTGCAATATTCAGAATTACAGGATTATAGTATAGTATTTAGAATTACAGTATTATTGATTGACATGCAAGCGAAGATAGGTGACTAATGTGGGTAATGTGGAGTCACATGTGGAGGAGTCACATATGGAGGAGTCACATGTGGTTATTATTCATTAACTGTACACTGTAGGATTGTCACAAAAATTCTGTAGGTTTGTAATCAAAATGGGTAGATCAAAATGGATTGCTAATGTTAATTGCATGGTAGGTAATAATTACCCCTCTTTGTGCAACGCAGTATATTGTGGGAGTAACTGATTGAAATATGGGTAGATCTGATATTAGTTGTCCACCCATTGTTCTTATTCCACTAACAGTGGAGTTGTTACCGTGAAAGACCGAATATTTTATTACATTCTTGTACATTCGGACCTTCACCGGTGTATGTCGACAATCACAGATATGCTCTGGTGGAGGTCCAAAAGAGAGGAGCCGACAAAGAAGCGACTGGCTCTCTCCCGCCAAATCCTGTGTTCTGCTGGGAGTCAGTCAGCTTTGTCAATCTTATGCAAGCTTTGATGATGCGAGTAACGTTTTCTTAATTTTTTTCCAATACCGTAATTTATACTGAATGGATACTGCAGTAAATCGTGATCTTTTTCTTGAAAAGTTAAATGCATTAATTGCGGGTAAACGAGAAGACAACTGTTTTTATTTTTCTCAAGAAAAGTACTCTAAAATACTTTCTGAAGTGGTTTCTGCTAAAACTAAGTGCACACACCTTTGGATTACAGACGATCAAAACGTTTTGACGTTTTAAAAATTAATGATGAAAGGAAATTAATTGTACCATTAAAATCAGGGGAAACGAATATACAGTATTATGTTACCAATGAAAAATTGTTCAGTAGGCTATATGAAACTCACGCCAGAATAGGCCAGGGAGGAAGAACACGTATGCTTAGAATGTACTATGTGTTTTAAATTGTTGGTCTCTCCTCTCAGAAAGAGAGGCGAAAAAGTTACGTCACCCTTGTGACGTTTTATAGCGACTGAATTACGGAGAAGAAAATATAAATCTCCGACATGTTCAACATTCACCATTAGTGCATGGTGGATGTCGACATTTACCGGTGTAAGTCAGAAATAAGGGCATTTAGCAAATATTTCGGACATACACCAAGCGACTATGTGAATGTTGACATTCACCGGTGAATGTCGACATTCTCCAGATTTCGGTCTTTCACGGTAACAGAGTCATTTCAGAAAGAAAAAAAAAGTTGAAAAATTTTCAAAATTTCAATAAAAATAGCTGACGACACAAATGAGGCCATTTGACCATCTTATCACTTCTAGAAAGAATGTTGGTAACAGAGTAGCATGATGAAATGTCTAGAGTTTCTCATATTTCAGCAAGGTTCTAGATTAAATGAAACGTAGGAAATGCGGGTGTTGCAATCGTGTAACAATCGAACTAAGCATATTTAACTTGTGAAATAAAAGGAAAATGAACCCACCAGAAAATATCGATTGAAATTAAGAAAAGAATATAGACAGTTACTCACCAGAGTATTCATGATGAACAAAATGTGGCTCCTTAAACGCTATCTGAAGCACAGTACTCGCCAAGGTGCCTTGTTCTGTTCTCATGGTGTCCACCACGTCCTCTGGCCTTTATATAGCTACCTGGGCGAAAAGGTTTCGCTCCATGGGGCACGCGTTCATCGATGGGAGAACGGGAAACGCCCTGTCCAATAAAATCCGATACACTTGACATTGACACTTGGTCCAATCGAATCGCCAAGAATTCGTCTTTCCTTTCGTTTGTCAACCATTTTAGGTTCCTAGTTTTTTTCCCTGTAGAAGAATTTCTGACTTCCTTCTTTGCGACCTTGGGACTCTCCATTGAATCGATTCGTTTTTTTACCAGGTTGAGGTGTTCGAACTTCTTTACATATCTAACTTTGGTAATGTTCAGTTTTCTTATGTGGCGTATGTATAGTCAACCTTTGTTCTCACATTACTAATCCACTATTCCCCATCTAATCTGCCAGGGATCATTTTTCGATTGTGAAAGACATTCCTTTCTTACATTTTTAATCATCTGAACAGGGTACTTTTAAATGAATTTTTTCGTGTGTGGCCGTGATGGTAATTGGAGTTGCACAAAAACTTGTTACAACCTTGCCAATGTCACATTTATTGCAAATAGACAGGTTTTTGAAAATGAGACATTTTTAAATTTGATGGAGGTGATTGTTCAAATAGATGAGCACCAAGTAACTCTACTTATTTTGCTGTATATTTGACTGTAAGGGTCAAAACAAGGTCATTACACAATACACAAGATCATGTATGCTAAAAATAAGCCATACATGTGCATGGTCCATACGTTCATATGTGCATACTCCATACATGTATATATTTCATATGTCCATGTGTCCACATTACATACATGTGTATACTCCATATGTTCATACATCCATATTTCATACATGTATGTAGTTCATACGTCCACATATTCATACTCCATACATCTATACACTCCATACGTTCACACGTCCATACTCCATACATCTATATGCTCAATACGTCCATACATAAATACTCCATACATGTATATACTCCACACGTCCACACGTCCATACTCCATACATGTATGTACTTCATACGACCACATGTCCATACTCCATACATCTATATGCTCCATACGTTCACACGTCCATACTCCATACATGTATATACTCCATACGTCCATACGTCCATACTCCATACATGTATGTACTTCATACGTCCACATGTCCATACTGCATACATCTATATGCTCCATACATCCATACGTCCTTACTACATACATCTATATACTCTATACGTTCACACGTCCATACTCTATACATCTATATGCTGAATACGCCCATACATAAATACTCCCTACATGTATATACTCCACACGTCCACACGTCCATACTCTATACATGTATGTACTTCATACGTCCACATGTCCATACTCCATACATCTATATGCTCCATACATCCATACGTCTATACTCCATACATCTATATGCTCAATGCGTCCATACATAAATACTCCACACATGTATATACTCCATACGTCCACACGTCCATACTCCATACATCTATATGCTCCATACGTCCAAACATAAATACTCCACACATGTATATATTCTATACGTCCACACGTCCATACTCCAAACATCTATATGCTCCATACGTCCATACTCCATACGTCCACAAGTAAAGAAAATGCAGTATACCCCAAATGGAGGAATATTCCCTAAACAGTAACATCCTAATAAAGATCCTCCAAAATCTCCAGAATCACCAGAGCTAGCAAAACGTCAGATTATAACGAGCACCTGGAATACCGCCCTTGGTGATCAGGGCCGGCAGAGAAATGACAAGGGATCGAGTGTCATCTGCACGAGAAGATACGAAAATGGAGCCCGTATATTTCCCCCAGCCGCAGATACGTACTCGGCTTACAAACACGCTTGCCTTGCCTCGAGGCAACGGAAACGGAGTTTTCTATCCTCCAGATTTTTCTCCCGGCGCCGCGTTACGTGATCAATCCTAGGCCTGTATAAAAGCCAATCTAGGACGATCCGCTGCATTGTGGCACGCACATTGTCCAACGATCCCTCGGCTAACCGATTAGTCCCTGGAACCATAACTCGTCGATCATGGGACCGGTCGTCTTGTTGTTGGCAAGTGTGATCTCGGCGGTCGTGGCGAGACCCGGTCTCCTGCACGGACCGTTGATCGCTTTATCACCTGGTGCGCCGATCGGGTCGGACGGCAGGGTGCTCGACACACCGGAAGTCGCGGTGGCCAAGGCGGAACACGCGGCGGCGCATCTGAACGAGAAGCTGAAGCTAGCTGACGAGGCTATTAGGTCCTCTGGGAATTTGCAGACCGTTGTCAAGCAATCGTCCTTGGTACTCGTGCCTGGGGCACCTATTGGGCTGGATGGGAAGGTCGTGGACACTCCGGAAGTTGCGGTTGCTAAGGCGGCTCATGCGGCCGCGCAGGTCAACGAGAGGATCAATCTGGCTAATGAGGCTGCTAGGTCCGCGGCCGCGGATTTGAATGGGTAATGGATTTGTTGTTTTGCTTTATTCTTTGATGGATAGGTCTTTTATATTGGAAACATTTTATAAGGATCTTTGTAAATTTAGTCACATTTCGCTGGTCACGTGACTGTCTTCCTTGTGGAGCTATTTGTTTGAAATTGGAAGTAGCAATAATAATTTAGACTATTCGAGCTTCTTGAACTATTTTAACTTCTAGAGCTATTCAAACTTGTGGAACTATTCAAACTACCTTTAGCTCGTTCAAACCATAACCTAATCATAACTCATTGTCTAATTCATAGTCCCAGTCCAACCACATTCCAAAGTGTTCTCAAACTTCTTTAAAATGGAATCACAAGACCTTAAAATCCAGCATTGTATCTCAGTTATCGAATGTCCAAATGCCTGAAAGGTACCTCAGTTCCCTAAATCCCTTAAGCTACAATTTGCTACTCAGTTGCATCATACACATCTGAATAAATAGTACCACAGCAAGAAGATTAATAGAAGAAAATTAAAAGCTAGGCACGTTTTGTAATCAACTATCCTTGATTATAAAGACTATAATCAGAGTTGAGCCCAAAATTCAATTGCAATGACAATGTGAGTCTAGTTTGTCAAATATAAGACTGGCACGTCAATGGTGCGTCATTGGTGCGTCACGCTTGTGACAAGATAATGCAGTGCAAGGTTTAAAAAATCTAAACAACAAATAGAGTACTATCAGGTTTGTCAGGTTCGAGGTCGACGTGTCAATAGTGCGTCAATGATGCGTCAATGGTGCGTCATGGCTGCGTCATGGGTGTGACAAGAGATTGCAGAGTAAAATTTAGAAATTTCAAACAACAACAAAAATTATTATCAGGTTTGTTAGGTATGAGGCTGGTGCGTCAATGGTGTGTCATTGGTGCGTCATTAGTGCGTCACGATATTCCAGAGCAAGGTTTAGAAATTTCAAACAACAAATAGTTTACTATTAGGTTTGTCAGGTATGAGGCTGGTGCGTCAATGGTGTGTCATTGGTGCGTCATTAGTGCGTCACGATATTCCAGAGCAAGGTTTAGAAATTTCAAACAACAAATAGTTTACTATTAGGTTTGTCAGGTATGAGGCTGGTGCGTCAATGGTGCGTCAATAGTGTGTCATTGGTGCGTCATTGCTGCGTCACGATATTCAAGAGCAAGATTTAGAAATTTCAAACAACAAATAGTTTACTATTAGGTTTGTCAGGTATGAGGCTGGTGCGTCAATGGTGCGTCAATAGTGTGTCATTGGTGCGTCATTAGTGTGCCACGATATTCAAGAGCAAGATTTAGAAATTTCAAGCAAGAAAAAGAGTACTATTAGGTTTGTCAGATATGAGGGAGGTGCGTCAATGCTGTGTCAATGGTGAGTTAATGGTGCGTCATTGGTGCGTCACGATGTTGCAGAGCAAGATTTAGAAATTTCAAACAATGAAAAGAGTACTATTAAATTTGTCACATATGAAACTGGTGCATCAATGATGCGTCAATGGTGCGTCATTGGTGCGTCACAAGTATAACACAATATTGCAAAATAAAATGTAAAAATTTCAATCCACAAAAAAGAGTACTATCCTGAATCTTAGCAAACAGCATTAAACATCCATAAATTAATCATAAATTATGCTTGCAGTCAACTGGTACCAGTGCTGTCCAACCGAGTGTTCACCTCAGTGGTCTCCGGAGCCACCGTAGGCCCCGACGGAAGAGTACAAGACACACCGGAAGTGGCCGCCGCCCGGGCCGCCCACGCAGCAGCTCAGATCAACGAGAGGATCAATCTAGCAAACGAGGCAGCCAGGTCATCGGGAGCGTTACTGACCGGCCCGTCACTCGCCGTTCCTCTCCTGGTGCGTGGAGCGCCCATAGGTCCAGACGGCAGGGTACAGGACACGCCGGAAGTCGCCGTAGCGAAGGCTGCACACGCGGCTGCGCATCTGAACGAGAAACTGAACCTCGCCACGGAATCCGCGAAATCCGCCGACGTACTCGCCGTTGCTGGACCCGCGCTCGCTTATGGAAGACTCGTCTATTAAACGAATTGATAGGCTGCGGAATATAAATACGTTAAGCGATTCTTCTTTAAACAACGAACTGGTCGGATGCTTGGATAGATCAATTTTCGTGGGTCTTGAGCTGGTTCGAGGATGATTATTGCTTTTCTTTGAAATGAATTTTGGGTATATGTAGTTCGGAAGCTTGATTATACTGCCATATGGTGTTGAATAATGTAGACTGGTATAATAAAGTTAAGTTTGATGATGTTGTGTTTGGTTTATTTTTGCAAAACAAATATTAGATTAGAGTTTCAGAGCTTTTACGTTTTTTATTTTTATTTTATTATTATATAATAAATTTGAAATAATTTGTTCGATGTAACTTGTTGACGCACTCACGATGCATTCATGACGCACTCATGACGCACTCATGATGCATTCATGACACACCTGTGACGCACTCATGTCGCACTCGTGACGCAGTCATGACGCACTCACAATGCACTCATGACGCACTCATGACGCACTCATGACGCACTCATGTCGCACTCATGATGCATTCATGACACACCTGTGACGCACTCATGTCGCACTCGTGACGCATTCATAACGCACCTGTGATGCACTCATGATGCATTTATGTCGCACTCGTGACGCACTCATGACGCACTCATAACGCACTCACAATGCACTCATGACGCACTCATGTCGCACTCGTGACGCATTCATGACGCACCTGTGATGCACTCATGATGCATTCATGACGCACTCGTGACGCACTTTGCTCTTCAGATGCAACAAACCTAAATCGTATTTTGCACCGTGAGTTTAACATTAATTATAATTTGCACAATCAACGATACCTAAAAGCAAAATATTCTCAACATTTCACCTTTTTTTATTTATTGTAACACTGCAGCAATAATTAGTGAACTTTAATTAACACATCTGCTGAGAAAATTATAGGTTTTGTTAAGTAGCTCTTGGTAACTCAGTCCCATGACGATATAACGCGAGGCAACTTAGCGCACGATCTGATCTAGCTATTGTATTTAACCTTGATATATTTTTAAAAATTTTAACGTTGCATGAAATTTTTATTTGGTACAAAATGAGTACAATGTATCACATATCAACGGAATGTGTATCGACGCGTCAAACAAGAAAAAAATAATTAATCGACACTAACTTTGCGATCCGATGGACGAAAAGCCGTTGCTAGAATTTCATTACAACGCGACAGACTTAGAAATCGATAGGTATTAAATTCACAGCGATTTTGTAGCTAAATCTATAGTCGTGTCAAGATCGATTGCATCGAATTTGGGTCGAGGATAGTATGCAAATGGAAGGAGACGATTGCAGAACGCGAGATGCGTGCAGGTATAATGAAGCATAGCTTCCGTCACGCCAGAGTAACTGTATAAAACATTTAACAAAAAAGAAATTGCTTTTGTAACTGTGGTGTCTCGTACTTTTTTGCGGGAATAAAATGACTTGTTATTTTCTCGGGACAGAAATGGATAAAAGTTAGAGAGGATTCGAAGATTTGAGGATTCGAAGAGTTTGAGGTTTGGAGATTTGGGAACATTCAAAAACAAATAATTTGTAGATTGTAAAATTATAAATTCAAGAACTATAATCTTGAATACAATATCCCAAGCTTACTCCCACTCCCATACCCGAAGCTCCCCATAACATCATTTACATAAGACACAGGCCAGATATGTCCACCCACTCACTGCTATCAGAGACCAACTACGTATGATCCCCCCACAGTGATTTCCTCGGATATCTTCAGCTGGCTGCATTAGCCCGTTTATATAGGAGGCATACCACCAGGACTAGTATCCAGTTCCTGGTTGCTGGAGCACGGGTCATCCGAGGGCCGAAGAGGAACTCGAAACTGGTCACGCTTGTCTTCAAGGCCTCCCTCTGGAATCCGGCTACAAAACGCTTTTTTCCGTCGGGAACTCGACGTTGCTCGACTATGCCCTAATATGTCCACACTTCAGGGCCGTATGCTCGAGGTGTAACAATTTCTATGAGTATTGTCGACTCGTAACCGGTGATAATCCATGATGGCGCTTTTTTTCGGGTTGATGGGTCCAGGTGCAATTTAGAGGCGACAGACGAGGCATTCCTGCTTGGAGTTGAACGTTCAGTAGGGTGTTTGTGGAACTGGAATTTTGTTTGCGTTGGAGAATGTTTATGATTATTGGAGGGGATTTTTTCGAGGGTGGATATTGGATTTCTAGTCTGGAATGCTGAGGTAGTCTTCAGGGTTGAAGTTTCAGTACATGGGTGGTCAAATCTCTAAATCTGTAAAGCTCTTGCTTGATGCATATTTGGAAGTCTTTAAATCTATAAGTATGTACATCTCCAAATTTGCAAATCTGTAAGTTGTAAATCTCTAAATTTGCAAATATGTAAATATTCAAAGTTGCAAGTCTCTAAATGTGCAAATATGTAAATATTCAAAGTTGCAAATCATTAAACCTATAAATATGTAAATCTCCAAATTTATAAACCTTTAAGTTGTACATTTCTAAATCTGCAAATACGTAAATATTCAAAGTTGCAAATCTCTAAATCTGTAAATATGTAAATCTCCAAATTTGCAAGTTAGTAAATCTGTAAATACGTAAATCTCCAAACTTGCAAAAATCTAAATCTGTAAATAAGTAAATCATCAAATTCGCAAACCTCTAAATCTCTAAATCTTTAAATCTTCATATTTCCAAATCTCCAAATCTCTAAATCTCTAAATCTTCATATTTCCAAGTCTCCAAATCTTCAAATATCCAAATGTCCAAATCTCTAAAACCCCAAATCATTAAGTCTCCAAATCTCTAAATCTCCAAATCTCTAAATCTCCTTATCTCTAAATCTTCAAATCTCTAAATCTCCAAATCTTAAAATCTCCAACTCTCCAAATCCCTAAACCACTAAACCCCTAAACCCCTAAATCCCTAAATCCCTAAATCCCTAAATCCCTAAACCCCTAAATCTCTAATCTCCTAAATCTCTAAATCCCTATACCCCTAAATCCCTAAACTCCTAAACTCCTAAACTCCTAAACTCCTAAATCCCTAAATCCCTAAATCCCTAAACCCCAAACTCCAAAAATATCCAAACTTCCATTTCTCAAATTTCAAAATCCCCAAATCAATAAACTCCCAAATCTCTCAAACTCTCCCAAAAATCCCCAAATCCCCAAATTGTGAAAAAAATCGCAATCGCAAAAAGAAACAAACACATTCTGTACATTTGTCAATTTACTTTTATTCTTTACAAAATAATGCCGGCTGCCATAGGACAATGAAACGCAGGAAATACACACGATATCAATCAATAATATCAATCAAATGAATTCTGAATCTTCATCGTCCTCTTCGTCGTCGCCATTGTCGTATCCCATAGAGGTCGCATTATAAAACAGAGGTCGAATCAATACAATGAAATCGTTCGTTAATCAATATCAAAAACTTAATTACTCGCTTAATTAATTAACCGTTAGAAAATAGCCATCTCGAATTAACAACACCCATCATCATTATCATGCGTACTCTGCAAGAAAAATAATACATTTTTTTTGCAAATACAATCGTTAAGTCTCGTTTTTCGTTTGATTAAACAAAATATTACATTTCATTTAGGAATCAAATACAAAGAGGGTGAGCACAATAATGTAAACCGATATTTCAAAAATTAATACATTTCTTTTTTTCTGGAAAACATGGAACAACCCCTTCTTTAATTTGTCAGTAGACTTTTTCAAATTATTTTTAAAAATTGATAATCAAAGGAATTCTAGTATAATCATTTAAGTAATTGAAAATTGTAATTATTCTAGTTTTAATGATCGTTTAATTACAATAATAATTTTAGTAATTTTCAATGTTAATATTTTTGATTTGTCGAAGAAAGGGTTGAGCAATGTTTTCACCCCATTTTTGATTAATACTGAGAACTCCATTAGGATCGTTAAATGCTCGACACTGTCAAGGCTCTTAACGTTAATCAATAACAATAATAACAATTAGAGCCATGAAACTAGTATCAGTGACAAGATTGTTTTTTGCAATTCCTGCAAAAATTATGTTACATTATGATACATTTCACGCGAGACAATTCGAAAACGTTAATCAATAATGACAATGGGAATGATATTAAGAAAACGAAAAAAGACGTAAGTGTCCCCTGTGTCACTCGTATTACATCTCACTTGTAGCCGTAATCGCAACACGTTAACATTCCCTTATACATATAATATAAATCTAAATATTAATATTCATATTTATATGTAACATATTCGTCCTAAACGCGCACGGATCCGTGCGATTAAATCTGATTAGTGATTCAAACATTTCGTGCAAATCCTCTCACACTTTACTCTTCTTCTTTTTTTAGTCATTTTAAGTATACTTCGATCGAACGTTGATTTACAAACTTTCAAATTTTACCATTTTTTTTACTTTGGACGATAAGCTTTTTTTGGTTTTTTCGATTTTTTTTTATTTCTAATTCTTTGATTTGAAAAATTTTGCAATTCTCAATTTAGATGTTTTGAAAATTAGGTTTCGGCAATATAACGCGAGAGTCATGACGGTAATTTTTTTGTGGAGAGAGGATTGCAATTTTTTTATCCCCTCGTTTGTTACAATTAATTTTCAAGTTTTTTGAATAACTGGAGCTTGTAATTCATAGTTGTATTTGTTTATTATTTCTGAGGGTATAGATTAGTTTATAAAATTTTGTAAGCTTGGATATTTCAAAATTTGGTGGCAATATAATGAGAGTTACAAGGGTAACTTTTTTTTACAACTGTTATACCGCTTTTACACTCTTCTTATATGACCAATCTTCAAATTTGTTAAATAAGTGAAGTTTACCATATTTTTATTTATTTATAATTTTCAAGAATAACTGTATCAATGTTCCATTTAGAAAATTCTGCAATTTTTGGTGTTTTACAATTTTATAGCGTCAGCGGCAATATAACGAGAGTTGCAAGGGTAACTTTTTTGATAATCATTGCAATACTACTTTTGCACCTCTTCATTTATGACCAGACTTTAAATTTATTAAATAATTAAAACTTATAATCCATATTTTTATTTATTTATAATTTTCAAGAATAACTGTATCAATGTTCCATTTAGAAAATTCTGCAATTTTTGGTGTTTTACAATTTTATAGCGTCAGCGGCAATATAACGAGAGTTGCAAG